CCTGGATTGACCTTAATCTCCTTAATCCTTCTAACCTTATCCTTACCCTACTAAAAGAAAAACAAAACAAAACAAAACAAAACAAAACAAGAAGCTACTCTTTCTGTGCTCTTTGTTTTTGTCCTTAACTAGCAAAAGGGATTTTACTGTTGTTACAGCAGATGTTAATTTCCTTTGCACTATCCCAGTCACCTTAATTTTTGGAACTCTGAATTTTTCCTCATACTTTCTGACAAAACAGAGATGCACATCAGATGCACAGGCTACAGGAAGAATTCAAATTATAAGATCTGCCAGGCACATTTTGCAATATGCATTTTTTGGATCAGATGTATTTCAGTTTGTAACAGGGAAAATAATAATAATAATAAAATCTTTTGATGTCTCTCTCTCTTCCCAACCCTGAGATGCTGAAATCCCAGGAATGGAGAGGCTAATGGCACAATCTGTGCATCCTGAAGGGTCAGATGAAGCCTAAAGCCCTGGGTGGGAAGAGGTATGATAACAAGGGGATCATGTCCCAAGTCATCACTGTTCATCTGTGGAAGTACACCAGCTCCCCATGCTGCTCCCCTCAGGGCTACAAGAAGATGTACTGTATATAAATCAATAAATTGACATCCATATGGATTCCCTTTCTATATGAGGACTGTGTTAGGATCTTTTCCACATGAATGTGATTCCCTTTTTGCCTTTCAATTAAGGCAGGAAAAATGTTTATGATTTTAATGACCTCCACCTTTCTCCATGTGTTTTAGCCCAGTTCTTCGTACTCTCATCTCAGGACTTAAGGCACCAAATGAGGCAGTTCCTGCTTCCATGATTAGGGCTGCATGGAGCACACACAAGAGATGTAAAAAGCACTGCCTGCTGCTCTTTGCAGAATCAGGCAGTATTCACTAAAACACACAAGGTGTACACAAGAGGGAAAAAATCCTGCTGAGCGTTGAATGCTCCTGTAACGTCTTAGTAAACTGTTTTCTGATCCAGGCTTCTGAAAATCATATGCTCATAAAAACAAACAAACAAACAAACAAACAAACCTTTCCACAGCTTGCATGAACAAGAATAAAACATACGGCAGAAAATGAGGCTTTATACAGTTCTACAAATGCCATAGTCCCAAGAGCTGGAGCAATTAATTGTTGATCAGCTGAGACATCTGAGTAGCTTTGGGACTCTTTTCACCTACACTGCTTTCGTGATGCAGGTCTCTTGTTAAATAATTGACCTCTCAGCCCTTCCATTGTTGTGGCAGGCCAGACATCTTCAGATAAAGTGATCATCAGGGCACGTAAATAGCTGCCAAACACATGACTCTTCTTGGGGGTGTATTTAAAATCTAGATAAACAAATATGTCAGCACTCACCTCCTTAGTAAGAGCAGCATGGCATCCACTAGTCCTGTTTTTTTTTTTCTTTCCCTGTCTTGTCTACCACATATTCTACTGTCTACCCTTGCCTCTCTTTTCCCTTCTTGTACTGCTGCCATTCTTCCTCAGCCTACAAAAGTTATAGAGCCACTCTGCTTGAAGGTGCTTGTGTTTTTCCTGATTATCCCCCAAAATATCCTCTTCATTATTCCTCTGTGTCCTAACATGATGAAAACCACTGAAGATAGCATCCGAAGCCATGAAGCATATTTTGAAGAACATAAACCTTCCCCTCGAACAGGAGCGAGAGAACCCTGTGCATTGCAGCACCAAGCCTGTTACTTCTGGTGAATCTCAGGCCTGGGTCTTTCATTTATTCTTATCTCAAAAAAATAACTGGGGCTACTTTTTAAGTCACATTGTCATTGTGCCATTCAAAGGGTACCAGAAGAAATAAGAAAATAGTTGTAGTAGGGATACAGTCAGAAATTTGAAAATCAAGCTGGTTCAATTTTCATCATGGAGAGTAAAGAGCAGTGAGAACATTTACAGACATCTCTGCATAATTTCATTATTAGTTGTATTCCTCAGAAGGTGAAAAATCAAGAGCACTAGGATTAAGGGGATAAGGAACCTAAATGTTTGATTATGACAAAATCCATTATTTAAAAACAACTTGAAAAGCAAAAACTGCTGCTCAGGCTTATCATTTATTAGTGTGCACTCATCAAAACAGAATTGCAATAGACTTGATGCAACTTTTTTGTTTGTTTGTTTTTATTTTGTTTTTGCTAAAAGAGGAAAGAACAGAAAAATTTTAAAAAAGAAAAGCAACACAAAAAAGCACAAAACCACAACTATATGGAAGTATTATTACTTGGTGTTTGAGTTGCACAGTGTCTTAACAGATACATAGAAATCTCTGCTATATTAAATAACAAAGTTATTCTATTACAGAGATCAGTTATTCATAGCAGACACAGAAATTTGTTGCTATGGGAAATAAGTATGGTATATCACACAAAACCACCAGTTCTTGTGAACAGTTATACTCTGCCTGAAGATAAATTGAAACACAGGGCTGAATTTCAGTCAAAGTCTGGAAGACTTTTACAATTAACATACAAAGCCTGATCCTGCAAATTTGATGTATCATATTCAATACAAGAAGTCCAACAGAGTTTATTAGGCCTATACTGTTTCAAGTAATTTAACTGCAGAGCATGATAGACAGTGGTGGAGAAAAAAAGAAATTAGGAAATATAATTAAGTGGAATGCAACAATAATGGTGAAGAGATGATAAGGAAGTCTTTGTAGGCTGTTATAGGCCTATAGCAGTGTCAGAGAAGAAAATGGGGTTCTGCAAAACAGACATGGACTGCAGTATAGACAAAAGAGCAGACAGAAGAGAAAGCAAAGGTCTGTATAAAATACTGTAATTTTCATGGCAAATAAAGGTATGATCCTGGATTTTCAGCAGGTGCAAACTGCCCAATCTCCACTGTTTTGTTGAGCAATTAAAAAGGTTTGTTTTTCCACATTATAGACTGAAGAAGGCAGTGCCCAGCCTGGCCCTCTTTTATTCATGTACCAGAGATGAGCTGAACCTCATCAATGCACATTGAGAAATAAAATGAGATTAATGCAGCTGCTGCACTGGTTCTCCTCAATTTACAAGGTATTTTATCAGTCACATACTCATCATCTGGTTTCTGCTGAATAAAACACAAACGGAGCTGTTGCTTGCACGTCTGGAGGCGCTACACACATAAGTAAATGACAGCTTAACAGCTAATGTGAAAAGAAGGAACAGAGCTGTTGAAGGAACCATTAAATGTGTCACAGCTAATGATTCAGAGATTCCTGATGGTTGCTCTTGTAGATTATATAAGCCACATCATGTTGCTTATATTGTATGATGTAGCTCTTGTGAGGCATAGCATGAGGAGCAGCTGAGCACTAGCCCTGGGAGGACTGGCTCTGAGAAATACAGCTCTTTCTCCCCTTGTTGAAATAATTTACTAAGCACACTAACAATCATACAGCAAAACGTGGGAAACCACAGCATTGTTAATGGCTTATGCATGGATAATGGTTGTTCAGTCTTGGCTCAGAAAGTCACAGATACTTTATTTTAGTGCTTTAAAAACTGGCAGTAGTCCCATCAGGAGTAAGGTACTGGACTTAGTGGGATACAAGGGGAATTAGAAGGAGGGAAAGCACAGATTAAGTAAAAAAGAGAGGCTTGTGAATTCCTCCTGTGTAAAGAATGATTAGTCTAGTTTTCTGTTAAGCAGGTGTTAGACCTTGGTTAAACTTTTATTGCAGTTTCACCCGCAGGACTGAAAGGCTTTCGGCTTGCTGCAGGACTGCACAACTTTTGCAGGATTTGCCAACTGAGGGCAAGACACCATTTTAGATAGAAACATGCACTCTTCCTAGCAAGATGTCTTCATGGAGTCACAAGATTTGTTTAAAAGATTTTGTGCTTACACATTTAGGTTCACACTCAGCATAAAAGACTTCCTTCAAAGAGAAAAACACTGAATTTTTTAGGTTATTACAGAACACATTATTTCATGGACGGTTGTGTCATTTTTGAGTCAACGGTCTTTTTTTGCTTCCAGAGCACGTAACTCTGCTGTGGACAAGCTGTTTAAATTTTTGCTTAGTCATCAGATCAATTGTTAAAAACAAGTATTTCTTAATATTTATACCACGCCGCAGGATAACGGACACGCTATATGATCAAATTGTAGTCCACCAACAACCGTAAGCTGAAGCCGGTGCTGGGACAGGCTGCTTCTACGCTAATCTTACCGCCCACGCCTCCCCTCCGCAGCCGCCTCTCCCACCAGGAAGGGGCGGCCGCGGCCTCACCCGGCTCGGGGCGGACTGCGAGGGCCGCCTTCTGCTCGCAGGGCAGGCGGGCGGGCTTTGGGGCCGTCACCGCCTCTTTCCCTCTCCGTACCGCGGCGATTCCGGCCGCCTCCGGATGAGCGCGGGCCGCCGGAGGTCGCGGATGCGCCGGGCGAAACAGATTCTCGCGTACTGCTTGTTCCTGGGGCTGTCCTTACCCCTCGCGCTGCTGCTGCTTTGACGCGCGGAGCCGGCGGGAGCCCCGCTTCGCGGCCCGGCGCGTGGCCGGCGGCAGCGAGCCGAGGGCCGGACGCCTCGGCAGAGGAGGATGAGGAGCTCGGGCGGGCTCCGCGGGGCAGCACCGCGGGCCGGCGGGCCGCTTCTCCCCGCGGGGGGGCACGGCCGCGACCCCGGCCGTGTTCTGCCCCCGCGGCCGTGATGCCGCCGCGCTCGCCGCCCCCTCGCCCCGACTGACGGGGAGGCGAGGCGGCGCCCGCGGTAACGGCGGCCCCCGCTCGCCGCGCCGAGCCGAGTCGCCGCTGCTCGGGGGCGGCGGCTCTTCCGCCCTGAGGCGGCTCGATGTATTGGTGGCCGCTCCTCGCGCCCCCGCCAGTGCCTCGGGGCCGCTGCGGCCCGTCCGACTCCGCGCCTGTCGGGCGGCGGCCGTAGCCGGGAGCCGGCGCCGGCTGCGGAGCCGGCACCGCCGCGATTCGCCGCTCCGCCAGGCGGAGCGCGTCCCCGCCGGCTTGCCGCGCGGGGAGGCGGGCCGGGGGCCGGCCGAGATGGGAGAGAGCGTGTCCAAGAGGCTGAAGCTGCAACTGGGAGGCGAGGCGGAGATGGAGGAGCGGGCTTTCGCCAACCCCTACCCCGACTACCAGCCCCAGGGAACCGCAGCAGCCCACGGCGCGGCGGAGGCCCAGCGGGATCGCGCGCTGCTGCCGCCGGCGGCGGAGGACGCTCTCCCCTTTGGCGCGGACGGGAAGGTGAGGGCCGGCAGGGAGCCGCTCTGCGCGCCTCCGGGCCTGCTGCCCGTCCGGGCCGCCCGCGGCCTGCGTGCGGGGCGGGCCGGGCGCCGTGCCCGGACTCGGGGCTGCTTGCCCCGAAATGGGTGCCGCTTTCCTGCGGTACCGCCTGCGGCCCTCCCAAGTTCGGCTCAGGAAGTGTGTGGACGGGAGAGGAGATACGGAGCGGCTCCCCGCCGGCCTCTCGCGGCCCGGCGGCGTCGCAGCCGCCCTGCGTTGAGCAAGGAGGGGCTGCGCACAGGTGGGCGGCAGCGGTGCTCCCGCTTCGGGTATCGCTGCGCCGTTCCCTTCAGTGGTGACTCTTAAGGCATGTGGTTACGTTCCCGAAAACGCTTTATTTTGGGTGGCCTGCAGGAGGCCTGTGCGGTAACGCTGAGGGCAGTTCTACTCTGCTTGTTTTCTTGACACCGTGTGCTGCTGGTGAGCTGCTCTCCCACATGCATCTCAGGCAAAAAATGCTTGGGGTGTTTGCACACGAGTTGGTGTAAGCTACGGAAGGAATGTCATCTTTCCAATGAAGATACTGCGTGGTGACGCTGCTGGAAGTACAAATGCGTAAGGTGCAGAAGTAACTTTTCTCACTCACCTGTGCTTGGGTGAAGTGCAGTGCATGTGAGCGTGATAAACCTTAGCAAGGCACATGCTAGCTCTTGGTCAGGGTGAGTTAGAGCTTTTACTAATTGTTGGGAGTGGAGTGAATGAAGCTGTGTGGGTGCACAGAAAGGAGCACTCTTGGGGTTTGGTTTCTTACTGTTTGAGCTCGTTCCAGCTGTCAAAAGCAGATCATGGAGCTTGAAAAGGTTTAAAAAGCAAAGGTAGATTTGTGAGTAAAGTCTTGTTTTTGCAGAAATCCTAGACAGTAATACCCAGCATTAATTTTTTTTTTTTCTTTTCCTTTTTTCCTTTTTTCTTTTTTTCTTTTTCCTGGAAAGAACTGTGATTTCTTTTGTATTTGGCTTAAAGTATGAAAAAACCTATGGCATGTTTTGAGTTGGAGTATGAAGACAAAGAGGGGGCTTTGCAATGTTCAAAAGCATGGAACTCCTCTGGAAAAAAAAAAACAAGTCATCTTCTGTGTTGCATTGAAGCAGTGTAGTTACAGCAACTTTCAGCAGGCCTACTAGGAGTTTTTTCAGCTCTGTGTTTTGCTGGAGAGAGTAGATCTGTGCCTACATTTTCTTTTTGTTTCTGTATCTGCAATTTCTGAGTAATGATTCTGTGTATTTCTGGGTTAGAGCATGGCTTGGAGTATGTTTGTGTGTATTTATACTGTTGGCAACATTTGCCTCTAATCAGTCCTTATTCCATACTGCCTTTCTGAGACTTCCTGGTGGGTATTTTAGGGTAGTCATTTTGATTTGCTTTGATTTTTTTTTTTGTGTGTGTTTGTTTGTTTGCTGTATTGAACAGACACTAGTCCTGTCAGAGGAACATCTAAGGCGTCTGTGAGGGTGAAAGGACTTTACACAGGTTGAGAGACTTACTGTTCTGTAAACTGTTTTGTGCACTAGCACAAATTTCCGAAAAATGAAATTAGCCTTCAGAAGCTCTATGTGCATTGTGTCTTTTTTTTTTTTTTTTTTTTCCTGCCATCTGCTGATGTGTGCAATGGTGAGAATTGAGTGACTCACATAATGACAGCGAGAACTGTATGGGGTTCTGCTGTTGTCACAGAAGGCACTGCATTATTATGCCCTCCGTTTGATTTCATAAGCTGCCATATTTGCTATGTAAAGTTAATCCAGTCGATAAAAGGACAAGGAGCTCTTCAAGTCATTGTCCAGAATGTGAGACAATTGGGGCAAAGTGCTGCGTGTGGATGTGTGTGCTTATATGCATAGGGTATATGTAAAGAAGTTAGAGTGTGGGAGGAAGAGAGGAGCAAACAGGATTTTGGCCTGCTGATTTACTTTTTTAAAAATAGTAGCACTAAAAAATGTCTATTTTGATTAAATATGTATATATTCCATAGCCTTTTTCATTTCTATTTGAACTCTATAGCGATGCTTTTCCCTGGAAGTGTACCTATAGATGTCATCTTAGGGTGGTCCAAATGCTTTCAAACTGGAAATGTAAATAGCTAGGGGCAAAGAAATAAATAGCTATAAATTGAAAGCAAAGCATGCTTTGTAGTTCATGGAGGTACAAACAGTTTATCTGTTTAGTTTAATTTAGGTTTTAATTTGGTTTAGTTGCTTTTTTGGGGAAAGTATTAGTAATTGAAAAGCAGACATTTTGGTATTTTCCTTTGCATCGTAGAGAGTTCTATTATGAGTTCTTCTGTTCTTAATGGTGGCTGTAGAAGTGTATGGGCCCCTGCAGTTGGGAGCCAAAACATAACTGTCTCGAGCAGTACAGTGCTTTGCTTTCTCCTTCCACTTGAACTGCAGCAGAAGCAGCTGGGAGAAGTTATCACTTTGCAGGGATAAAGAATATTTACTTAACTTTTGGGTGGTTAATTCAGTATCCCATTCTGAGAATTTAATGGCTTTTCAGTCTTCTTCCTCTTGTGCAATAAAGAGGGGGAATAAGGCCTAAATTTTTTTCCATTGCCTTACTCTTGGTCCCCCTCCTTGCAGTTCTTCCTGTGTTGGTTGAGTTGTCTCACTGAGAATTTCATTTGTTGTGCTGGGAGCAGCAAGGTCTACCTGCTGTGGGACTGACTCTGCAACCACTTGCACTAATGGGGATTGCACCGCTTGTGCAGTGAAGGCCAAATTGAACCTCTAGTGCCAAAAAATGTTTTTTTTTTTTCCCATCTTTTTGTCTGAGTTGTGGGATATTCCCAAGTTGTGGCATCTGCATTTCTTTCAGACTGCTGCTTTGTTTGGCCATTTTCTGGTGTCCAGAAAATGCCAGGTGTGTGATATTGTAATATTTTAATAGGCTTCTGAATATGACAAGTTGTTTTCTTGTTGAAGGAAAGTTTATTTTAATTCTTGTGAGTCTTGGTCAAAATTCAGGCTGAGAATCATTTTTATTGCCCCTCACTGTGCATTACTGAGGACAGCGTCAGTAGTCTGAGAAGAGAAGCTGCTGCTTCTTTCTTACACTGCATATTGGCATCAAATACCATTTAGCACTTCTATGATGCTTTTTGAAGATCTTTCCTAATTTTCAGGACTGGCTTTCATACTTTAATTGGCTTTTAAAACCTGTTTGGCTTTAGCCAGCCAGTTCTGAATAAATACACACTTTCTTAGACTAAAACCAAAGTTCTGATCATATTTTCTTATATCTGTCCTGTCTTTGCCATTTTCTAGTTTCATCTTGCAGACATGTTTGCTAATATTCTCTGACTAGTCACATGAGCAAGTGCAATAGGAGATACTAGTGTTTTTTGGTGAAAATAAATGAAATTGTAATATATATGGTAATTGAATCTGACTACAGGACATTTATGTACTGTCGAATTCACTGTGTGGAAGTTCCTGCGCTCTGTGCACCAAAATAATTTAGACAGTACTGGGAGAAATTTTAGCTTTTTTTACAGCTTGTGGAACACTGGAAAATGTTCGAGCTGAGGTGGAGACTTCTGTGTAGTGAGTAAATTTAAATCCCACTCACAGTAGTTTTTTTATCTTCCTGCCTGTCAAGAAGTAGCACACTGGTATTAGGCTACCTGGAGTACCAGTGGTGTTAGTAGCACTCCTTTGCTTTATCATCCTCCGTTTCCCAGAACATGGGATAGTGTTCTTCAGCATCTGTCAATCATGTTAAATTGCATTTGTTTTTGCTATCAGTAAATAGAAGCTTTTTTATGATGATCTAAAATCGTACTCTTTTTTTCTCCGGTCAGTCACCAGTGAAACATATAGCTTATTTTACATGTAAATGCATTAGATACAGCCTCATTTCTGTCTTGCTTTAAATAATTTGTTGTGTAACATGAATGGACTGCTGGCTTTCCCTCTGTTCTCTGAGGTAGGGTGTTATGTGCATTTAAGGTTTATTCCGAAGTTGACATTTGTAATAGTTTGCCTATAGCTAATGGTTCTCTCTTCCTCCTCCTAGCCCACCACCCTCTTTTTTTTTTCTCACTATCACTTGCATGAAACTAGAGATGGCACTGAAAAATAGGGCAATATGTTCTAAGACAGCAGTGTTTCAAGTAATTTGGTTTTGCAGAAATGGAAGAACGTAATTGAGCAGTAGCAGAGACCCATGTTTAACTGTTTAATGGGCTGAGTTACGAGAAATCGTTACCTGATATTTTCAGAGGTGAAAAAATGTTACTGTTGGAGATGTAAAGGTGTTTTGATTTAGGTAGAAACAAAGTAAATCTCGTTTTTATCTGCAAAAACGTGGGTCACTTCCCAGCTCAACCCTTTGGATTCTGCTCTTGGGCTCTTTGTTTCCGCCCTTGTTTCTGCTCTGCTGTTGCAGGAGCTCTGTGGAGTGAGCACAGGATCTCATTCCACTGCAGTAAGCGTATGCTGCAGCACATGGAGTGTAAGACCTGGCTACCTTAGTGTCACTGGCAGAGTTCCCAATGACTTCACAAGTGCCAGGGTTTCATCTTTCAATGGAATGCTGCCTTTTGATTTTTTTTCTCCTGCTCTTCCTTACCGGTGTCTGTCATGTCTTTTATTATGAAACCTAGGAAATGTGGGATAGGTGAGTGGATGGTGAGGTAGATTGACAATAGGCTGATTGGCAAAGCTCAAAGGGTTGTCATCAGCGGATGACCTGGATGAAAGGATTGAGTCCACCCTCAGCAAGTTAGCTGATGATATAAAGCTAGGAGGAGTGGGTGACACAGCAGTGTCCGCTCAACAGCACCTGGACAGACTGGAAAGTTGGACAGGGAAGAACCTGATGAGGTTTAACAAGAGCAAGTGTGGAGTCTTGGACTTGTGTGGAGTTTCCTTCTATGGAGATATTCAAGACCCATCTGGAGAACTATCTGTGTGACCTATGTAGGGTACTTTCTTTATTGGGGGAATTAGACTCAATGTCTTGAGGTCCCTTCCAACCCCTGTGGTTCTGTGATTCTCAGCAGGCTGATTTTTGAGTGAATCCCTGCTGTGGTGCCAGCTTGAGGTTTATTTTCTTCTTTGTGAAAGACTCTTTGACCTCCTTCCCAAAAAAAAACCCAGCACTGTAGTCTCCTGGTCTTCACCAATATTGAAGTCACTTCTCTCTGAAATGCCTCTGTTCCTAATCTGATTTGAGCTGAGATGAAATAGAGGAGTTTTGCTTGTTTGGTGGATAGTATTCTGGCCATCTCTTTGCTACTTCTGCATAATCATTTGCTTCCTTTTTCAGTCCTCAAAAAGAACTCATAGTGATAGAGAAGAATTAACAGAAAGACAGTTGTTTTGGGAACAGATGGTGACAAGAAAGACTGAGATGTTGGCAGCTATTCAGGAAGCTGAGCTCAGTTCTCTGTTGTCTTGCCATCAGGCTACACAGGTTACTTAGATGCATCGTGATGCAATTAGATGATGAGAGGTGTTCTTGAAAAGCACCCTGATATCTAAATATCTTTGAAAAAATTAAATGAAATAACTCATCCTGTGGCTTTCAAATCAGACTATTACTATCCACAGAAGGAGTGCCATGGGCTGCCAGTTGCTCTGTCAGGTTTACATAAGCAGTGTGGTATGCTTATGTGAATCGTTTGAAGCACAAGGTGTGCAAATATGCGTACTTTATTTTAAAGCTTGGAAGACTTCTAAGCTATGTGCTTCACTTCATTTCCTGAAATCGTAATATAAAGCACGTATATTGCAACTGCATGTTCCTTCATCAGTGATTGGTGCTGCTTTGTTGTAAAGCCACAGCAGTGCAGCTGAATGTAATGAAGAAGTTATTCATTAAGAATTGGTGTGTCAGTGCAAGTGATAATTTTTTAGGAGATTATTATTTGCATCGAGATGTATTTGTGCAACTAAAGTGCCAGGTTTACAAAAAAAAAATCACTGAAGTTCTTTTTAAGAGTTTTGCAAAATAAAAGAATGCAAATAGAGGAAGGAAGTAATGCGGAGAACAGCGTAATTTGTCCAACATGTCATTAGTGCCAAAGCTGAATGGTGGTATGCTTACATTCCTTAAGTTCGTAGTAGCTTTCAGAAGACTTTTTATTGGAGTGTAGCTTTGCTTTCTGGATCCTGACTCAGTGCAGGAGGAAAGGTACTGTGGTTCAAATAAGTCAAAAAACAGTTAATTTGCAAAACAAACATAGCTGTATTTTTCTGCACTAGTTTTGTTTCATGAGCCTTTCTTGTTAGACAGTATAGTTCTGGGTTCTTATGGGTGTTTCTGGCAACTAGCACTCATCATTTGTATTTTGCTGGTCTAAACGTTGAGCAGTGGTTGGTGATATGTTATTCCTTCAGCAGCAGGGGGAGTAACTCAGCAGTTGCATTCCTGGAGTGAAGCATTTCTTGTGAGAGATACTCTTCAGCCCGTGTTATCACTGTGTCTTGTGAACGTGGAGTAAATGTCATACTGGTTAGCGAAGAGCAGGTATCCTGATTTTTGTTTTTTTCCCCAACAAGAATGAGAATAGTGAGTTGCTGGCAGAACAGGCAGAATGCCAGCTGGAATCATCCTCACAAAATGAATATGCTTCTCCTGAAATGAGCTCAGTGCCAATTAGTGTGCCTTATGTGTGACTGTAATGCTTCCATAAGATTCCTTGAAGGAGGTTTATAAACCTTAAAAACCCACCTTTCAACATTAATTTCTTTATGTAATTAATCTCTTGTATGTAGGCATTTCTTATGAGCTTATAGTGGAATTCTATCAAATGAACAGTAACAGTGCTCTGTTGTTACAGCAGCAGCAAGAAAGAAAGTGGTGGAGGAGTAGTTATCTGGGGAAAACTGCTGTCCTTAACCTGTCCACACTGACATAAACTTGTGATTAGCTTTGTTGATAAATGATTATAACCATAATTTAAAAAATCCTTTCGTTTTTGCTTTTCCTAGCACTGAATCAAGATAAATGAGTTACAGTTCACATTCTGGAGAGAGGGAAAGGCCAGCCTTAGCTGAACTACTTCTATGGAACTGGTGTTTCAAAAGAGAACCTAGTTGTCCTGATGTCCTAATTCTTTCCTCCTGCCTCTTAAGTAATTTGATCTGGTGTTTGATTAATAAATAACTCATTTTGGTAACAGCAGGTGTATTGTCAGAACAAGAAGGTAACCAGCCTACTTGTGATGTGCAGTAGGTAAATAAACTTTGTAAAACCTTTGTTCACTCTTGTGAGATAAACGGAACTGTGCCTGCATGCATCAGCTCCTGCTGCTATGCCATATGCCTAGGCTTTGGCACAGCTAGCTTTGGAAGGAGAGAAGCCCTGCCTTTGTGTTTTGTTCAGTGGGCTGGCTGAAAGGGCTGGGGGTGGGTTTTTTTTTGTATGGACAGTATGGTTTCCTAACAGAAAGATGTTTAATGCCATATCAAAGCTGAAAAGCAGATGCCAGCTTCTTACTGTATTTGGTTCTACTTCTCAAGTTATTGGAGAATGCTAAAGAGAGCTCTTGCTGTTTCCTAGGATAGGCTGGAGTGATATTTGTGCAACATGCTGTGTAATGGCACAATTTCCCTCCCCTGTCTCATCACTGTAAAATAGATTTGAACTGTTGACCCTAGACATTTCTGAGTGTGTCAGAGGACTTGAGTGATTCCTGCTATCTTTCTGATTTCTTTATCAAGTGAATGTCAAGAGGACAGGCTGAGAGAACTGGGGCTGTTCAGCTTGGAGAGGAGAAGGCTCCAGGGGCACCAGATAGGAAGCCTTTCAGTATCTAAAGGGGCACTATAAGAAGGAGGGGGACAGACTCTTTAACGGGGTCTGTTGTGACAGGACAGGGGGAAGTGGTTTCAAACTAAGGGGAGATTTAGTTTGAGTAGAAGGAAGAAGGTGTTTTGTTTTGTTTTTTAACAGTAAGGCTGGTGAGGCTCTGGAACAGGTTGCCTGAAGAGGTGGTGGATGCCCCATCCTTGGAGACATTCAAGATCAGGCTGGACTGGGCTCTGAGTGGGCTGATCTAGCTGCAGATGTCTCTGTTCATTGCAGGGGGGTTGGACTAAATGACTTTTAAACTTCAGAGATTCTGTGATTCTGTTTTTGCATTCATTGCTTGAAGCTCCGCTCTGAACAGGATGCAAAATGCGTGTTCTGAGTTATCAGTGGCACAGCAGCACTTGGGATTTGCCTTTTAACTGAACTCCTCTCCTTTTGGAATGTGTTGTAATGGAACAAGAGCTTGCCTTCCTAAATGAGCTAACTTCACTTTCTATAGTGAGAAATCATAGATGTAGACGTGTTTAAATCAAGCAAACCTTCACCAATCTGACTTGTTCTAGCTGTTACTAGGGAGTGTGCTGGGAAGCAAGTGTAGAAGCATGATTCAAGTGTATCAAGCACAATTCAGAATGGAGTGGCTAATTCTGTCTGTGACAAGTAGCAAAACTGTATAATGCTCTTTTTCTGGATGCTGATGACCACTTTGTTGTGGTACCTGGGTTTGGGGGATGAGAGAGCGCTGCTGGCTTTCTTATTCCTAGAGAAGTTCTATTCTTATTGTTCCTGCCTGGGTAACTAAGACAGGGAAGACAAGTGACACATGATTGGATGTTTCTATAGATGGTGAAAAATTAACATTCACGAAATATTTTTTTGCCCTGTGAAATTAGCATAGATCACTATCTTGTCAGAGTGGTGTAGCTATGTGATACTGATAAAGCTTTTCTTACAGCCCAATTAGCAAGGAAATTTTTTATTTCTTCTTCTCGGGTTCTACTTAAATATAATAAATAGTTTTAATAAATGTATTAATAGCAAAAGTTAATTAGCAAGTCATATTGTGTATAATAAAACATTTTTGAGTATTCTTCCTGATGTCTTCACTGCACATGTAAATCTATCCTGTGATGGGACAATTATTTGTTAACTGACTATTTCCATGCTCCATAGTCTTAAGGGAATAATCAGTAATGCGTTGAACCCACACATTATGTTTAACAAGAGGTGGCAAGATAAAGCTATGTAGTATTTAGCATATAATTATCTGTAAACTTTTCTTGCTTGAAAGTAAAAGCAAGGAACGGATAAAAACAAGGGTTTGTTTCTTCAACTTTGTGCCAAAGGGTAAAAAGTATGAGCTAGAGCTGCCAAGCTGCTTTTACATATCTTCGTGCCAAGCTTATTTTTTCAAGTGGTTATTCTTTTATAGCTTGCTGCATTTAACAACCTTCTCTCATGATAGAGTGTGCCAATCCTAATGGTATTTGGTGGAGGAGAGGAGAGCAGAAAGTAAGAGGGAGGGCATTTTATGGCTAGATCACTTGCCTTTTGTATGGTGATCACAGACTGAGCAATCAGTTAGATTTAAAAATAAGATATGAATAAATTATGAATTATATCATTTAAAGTGATGGCTTTGATTTTGACTTGGTCTTAAATACAAGTATTTATTTTCCTTTAGCTATTTCTTTGACATTGCTGATTGCTGTATATAATATTTATTCTGCAGTATTTTTTTTTGTTGTTGTTGTTTGGTGGTTGGGTTTTTTTTGTTTGTTTGTTTTTCCAAACAGAAAAGTGGAACACCTGGCTTCTTGGATTCTTTCCTTTTTGCCTCACTCCTTTTCTCCTTTTTCCTGTTCACAGGTCAGTGCTCAGTTCACAAAACGGATCCAGACAAAAATCAAGGACCTTCTGCAGCAAATGGAGGAAGGGCTGAAGACAGCAGATCCCCACGACTGCTCTGCCTATACCGGCTGGACTGGTGAGAGAGCTAGACAGTGAATGAAGAATGTTTGTTGAATGGCGTGAGTGAGTCTTTTCGCAAAAGGACCTTTAGGTATCCTCATAGGAGCAGTAGCAGAACTCTGATACAGTATGAGTTACTTTCTTTTAACTCTATAACGTTGGTCATTGTTGTCTGCAGTGACTTCCATTGGCTTCAGTGGACCAACAATCTCATTATAGAGAGTTAATAGGCTTTTGTATATTGAGATATTCATTTTGCAAAATGAATGGATTTTTTAAGGCTACTTCTTTTGAATTACCTGTCATTTTTTTTAAGGTTTTATTAAAATTAGTCATTTTCACTTTTTTTGCTCAACTGTCTCAGTTTAAAACCATTCCCCTTGTCCTATCACCATCCACCCTCACAAACAGCCGTTCCCCCTCCTGTTTATCCGCTCCCTCCAAGCACTGAAGGCCACCATGAGGTCTCCCCGCAGCCTTCTCTTCTCCAAGCTGAACAAGCCCAGTTCCCTCAGACTTTCCTCACAGCAGAGCTGCTCCAGCCCTCTGCTCATCTCAGTGCCTCCTCTGGACCCGCTCCCAGAGCTCCACGTCCTTCCTGTGCTGGGGGCCCCAGGCCTGGACGCAGCGCTGCAGATGGGGCCTCACAAGAGCCGAGCAGAGGGGGACGATCACCTCCCTCTCCCTGCTGGCCGCCCCTTTTTCATGCAGCCCAGAACACAGCTGGCCTTGCGGGCTGCAGGCGCACACTGCTGCCTCATGGCCAGCTTCTCGTCCACCAGGACCCCAAGTCCTTCTGCGCAGGGCTGCTCTCAAGGACATCTTCCCCCAGTCTGTATCAATACCTGGGATTGCCCCGATCCAAGTGCAGCACCTTGCACTTGTTCTTATTGAACCTCACTGGGTTCACACAGGCCCACTCCTCCAGCCTGTCCAGGTCCCTCTGGATGCTTCCCTTCCTTCCAATGCATCGACTGCACTGCTCAGCTTGGTGCCATCTGCAAACATGCTGAGGCTGCACCGGAGGGTAGTTTGGCTCTGCTGTTTTGTCTGTACAAAAATGTTAAAATGAGCATGTGGGAAGGAGTGGAATGGAGGTAAGATTGCAAAATTGTGAATTATATGAAGAGAAATATGTGTGTGCAAGTGCTGTTTATCCCTAAACACCACTGTTCTTTTACTTTGCGGTACTAATGCTGTCAAAATATGAGTGAACCCTACTGATCCTTTAGGCAGAGCCTGCAGATGTCAAGCCTGACACAGCCACTGCTCTTCAGGCTGCCAAAACACTTTTCCATCTTGGCCTCTAAAGTGCTGCTTTGCAATCACAATGGCAAATTGTATTCCTGCTCTATCTTATGCTTTAGACATTCTTCTGATTTTAGCATAGCATGTTTGATGTGTGCCATGAGGAGATCTGTTCTGTTATCTCTGTCAGAGAGGGGGAAGCAGCCTGAAAAGGCTTTCCAGGCTTTGCCCATGCTTAGTCTTAATTTTGGCAGTGGAAATGCAAAATTTCTTCACTTTCTTCTTGATATTTCAGCACAGACAGTACTGTGGGTGGGTGAGTGGGGATGTTTTAGACAATTCATGTGTAAACGATAGATATGTTTCAAGGTCTAAGACTGGCTGGTGAGTGAGTGCAGCAGATGTCAAGTGGCCAAGAATGCCCATGATATCTTGGGTACATGAAAAAGATCATGGCCAGCAGGTTGAGGGAGCTTATCATCCCCTTCTACTCCGCGTTAGTGAAGCCTCATCTAGGATACTTAGTCCACAACTGGGCTCTTCAGTTCAAGCAAGACAGGGAACTACTGAAGGGTCACCTGCAGAGGGCCACAAAGATGGGGCCTGGAACATCTCCCTTTTGAGGAAACGCTGAGAGATCTGAGGCTTGTTCAGCCTGGAGGAGGGAAGACTGAGAAAGGATCTGACAAATGTTTATAAGTATCTAATGGGGGGAAATCAAGATGATTTAGACAGACTCTTTCCAGTGGTGCCTAGCAGCAGGACAAAGAGCAGTATGCACAAACTGGGACATAGGAAGTTCCACCTGAACATGAGGAAAAATTTTTTTTACTGTGAGGGCAACAGAGCATTGGAACTGCTCAGAGAGGTTGTGGAGTTTCCTTGTCTGGAGATATTCAAAACCTTCTGTCTCGCTCCAATTTATAGGAGAAAAAGGAGGTTCTTTTAATGTACGTATAGCCGACAGTGAGATTAAGACGCGGCAGGTCAAATGTTAGCCCAGCCAGTTTATTACAAATCCTAGTCGTTTAGGGAGATGGGGAAGGGAAGATGGGCAATAGAAAAGATAGGAAATAAAAGCAAGGAGTCTTTGTAGGAAGCAAGAGGAAGATAGTCACCACCATGGATTCCAGCTTTGCTTGTAGGTTGATCTTCAGTAGAGGTGGGTCATTGGGCGTTGTTGTTCAGTTGACGACGATGATGGCGATGACGGAGACAATGGAGAAACTTTCCAATTGCTGTACAAGCTTATAAATAAGTCTAAAGTGGTTGAGTCAGCTCCTTTTGGAGAGACAGCTTCTGGCTTTTGGATCTCTGCAGGAACTCCTTTTGTTCCCATCTTCTGGGCCTTGCCAGCAGATAAGAGGGAGTATGGAGGTGCCCACTTGTATCTTGCCTTCACAGCATACAATGGTATTATCCCCCAGTCTCCCATAGCAAGCAGGAGTTATTTGGTCACAGGCCAGGTCTTCCACCAGTAAACAGTCCTGAGTACTCTCTTCTGAAGGCAAACAGCTCCAAAGAAATGCTTTTAAATGTAAAATTGTCCACACAGTGATGCTGACTGCCACACAGCAACATCCAACTCTCATCTCCTAGATAAGTCAGTCTTATTGCAAGAAATGTCTCAGAAAGCATACTTTGAGCCAAAAACAAAGAAGGGTTCAAACACTTGCCTGAATGCTTTCCTGTGTTCCTACAGTATGGAGCCTGCTTTAGCCAGGCGGCTTGGATGAGAGATAGCTTTGAACCCCAGCAACTGTGTGATTCTAACACCATGACTGACAGCAGACATTACTGAGCATGTTGAAAGTTAGTTATAAGCTAAAACTAACACAACCATTGTTAGCTGAACAAGTAATGCACTCTAATGAGAATTTTTTTTTTTTCTGTTATATAGAAGGATTGCTAATTACATTTGCTTCAAGCTGTAAAATTCTTGCAAGGTTTCTGTGGAATTGCCTCAATAAAAATACTAAAATGGTCTGGATTTTGAAAAACTTAATGAAAATACTTTCTCCCCAAGCTTGCTTCTTGCAACGTTTTGCTTGAATGTGAAAATGAGAAAGTAAAAGCCAAATCTGAAAAGAACTGCCCTGCTTGCTATGTACCAAGTCTTGACAAATCTTAGTGGAGGTGAGCAGTACTGAATATTGGCTGAGCATGTACTTTGGAAGCATCTTCAAAATCTTGGAGTGCTTATTGTTGTCACATACCAATATTAAAAACCATGGTAGAGTCCATTGTGCTTATATCCTAATACCAATACTGTTTGTATGTGGCAAATGTCTTGGAGCATTTTGCACAAGAAAGGGTTGAATAATCTTGACCTCATGGCTAATTTCTGAACACAGCCTTGATCTGCATATTTGGTGCAATCTGTGAAAGAATTGTAGAAATGCCAGTCAGGCCGACAGCCTCAGAGGCAGTGTTTTCCTGCCATTGCTTTGATGAAGGTGATAGAAAATAGGCTACAATCTCCTGTGCCACTGAGTTGGCCTAAACAAGCTCTGTAGCAGCCTTCTCAGAGTCATCTGTAAATGCCTTTTCAAGGCTGACCCAGAGAACATCTGAGCATGTACCACTGCTCTTATGATTCCATTCTTGTACTCCTCAAAAAGCGTCTCTATGGAACTAAGTGTGTCTAGTTTGTGCTCCACTTTATTCATGGCACAGAAGAATCTCCTCCCTGCTCAAAAAAGAGGAGTTTGAGTTGCAGCATGGTCGGAAGATACATTTATTGCTTCTATGCATGTATACTTCTAGTTGGCCAAGAAACATCTGCTTAGAGTTGTTTCACTTCGTTAAAAGCTGCAATGATATAGATTAAAGGTTGAGTTTTGTTTTGTTTTAAATGAAAACTATATAATCATTGTAATGGAGTAAAGCTTGATTTAACCTTCCAGCATTCTCTTAGGACTTGTTGCTTTCTGGCTTTTACAAGCTAGCTTAAATCTTAAGGTGGTATCATGCCATTGTGAAATTCATTCAGGCGTTATAAACAACTTGGCAACTTGAATCCAAGAACTGCTTAAAATATCCTTTTAAAAATCAAATGGGAAATAGGTCATTTTTTGCCTATAACAGATGAGTATTGTAAAGTGAGTGTGCTTGGTTGTAGGTATACTTGTTACCCTAAGATTTTGAGTTTTAAGTGATTTCTTCTCCAAGCTTTAGTACCTGAGTCATGAATTGTCTTAATTCTGTGCTAATAGTGGATGTTCTGTTGGGCTTCAGTCTAACAAATTTAGATGTTTGTCATGATCCAAATAGAAATGTAATAAAGACAGACTGATGTGTTCCTATTGCAAAGCTAGGACCCTTAGCTGAAGTGCTTTAACTGACCAAATATCTCTTCGATTTACTGTTCAGTGGCTCTAAAGATGGTAATGTGATGTATTCAGAAGGGAAAATTAATTAACCTCTTTCTCGTGTGTTTTTTTCAGGCATTGCCCTCTTGTATCTCCAACTGTACCGTGTCACAAAGAACCAAAGCCATTTGCAGCGATCTCTCGATTATGTGAAGAGAATCCTTCGCAATCTGAATGGCAGACGAGTTACTTTTCTCTGTGGTGATGCTGGGCCGCTGGCAGTGGGTGCAGTAGTTTATCACATGCTGAAAAATGAAAGTGAATCTAAGGAATGTGTTGCTAGGTAAGTGGTAGAAGGTGGGAAAAGCTATGACCTTCTTTTGTGGAGTTCAGTAAAATTAGCAATTTGAGTCATGGAGGACAAGATTAAAACGTGGAGGTACCTTCTGTACTTTCTGTACTGATGTATTTTCAGTAGAATACAGGATTGACTTTTAGCATTATTAAATCTGGCTTACACTTGTATTTAGTGGGTCACTGAGCCTTCTAAGTTGCTCTAAGAACAGAATGTCCTGGACATATCTGTAGTGCATGCACATCTTCATTTTTGTTACAGTAATAGAAGTTGCACACCTTTCATTGACAGAATGTATTGCTTGTGCAGTATGTGATGCTTTCTGTAAAGCACATGTTAGCAGTTTTGCAGCATGCCTTGCCCCATCAGAATTTGCATACTAGCTTCATGTCATCATCTCTAGTTTATGTTTGAGCATATAATCCATCTTTTTGTAACCTAGAATCCTAGTTTGAATAATATCAGTTACTGTTCCTGAATGAATATTTAAGTTTTGAAGTGAATGAAAGGTTTGTTCCTTGCTTTTAGAGTTGATAGTTAGATTAGGCATGTCATTTTAGATGCAGTTAGGAAGGCAGTGTTTCCGTAAGGCATGAAGTATGACTAGAGCAAAATGAGATCAGCAGTAAATCTTTTAATCTTACCTGCGCTTGGGAACTCCTTTCCAGAGGACTGAGAAGGAGGTTAGTTTGAGTATTTGCTTCTTTACATCCTTCCGTTCCCCCCCTCCCCCCCAACTCCCCTTTGTTTCTTTGTTTTTGTTTTTTTTGTTTTTTTGTTTTTTTAGAAATGCCAGGGATGCTCTGAAAGCAATAGCTTCTATTTTATTATGTTGGCTCACAACATAAGAGGCAGATGTTGGTGGCATGGCAATAGAAGATGAACTTCCCTGCCAGTATTCCATTACATTTTGTTGCCACATGACATGCTCACATGGGAACAGAAAGAAAACCATGTGCAAGTTTGTCATGATCCACTGAACCAGTACTAGCTTGAAAGTGGCAGTTTCTTGAATTGCATCATGACAAGATATAGTTACAGTTACATAGTTATGTAGACACCATTACAGGCTGGAATCCAAGTGTCACTCCATGGGGTGATGACATATGAATTCCCCATAGAGTAAAACGTTCAAGATGCAGTCCTTAGTGGCTAAAGTGATGCATCTTGTCTTTTGGGGTAGAAAAGGGCTGATCCTTTTGGACTCCCTGGAACCTGGGCAGACCATCAACTCTTGACTGCTACATTGTAATGCTGACTAAGCTAAAGGCTGGACTTCCACAGTCAGGCCAGAGAAGATAGTTTTTGTCTTGCAGCGTTATAATACCAGCCCCCATTGAAGACAATGGAGTGTATTGCCAGTCTTGACTGGACTGTCCAACCCACCCACTGCATAGTCTGAATGTGGCACCTTCTGACTTCCATTTGTTTGGGTCAATGAAGGATGAACTATGAGGGCAGTGTTTTCCTAGAACAAGACAGTTGTGAAACAGTGGATTTCTCTGCTGGTGAGGATTTTTACAAGCGTGGCATGCAGGCTCTTGTTCATCACTGGCAAAAATGTATAGCTACTGGTGGTGACAGTGTTGAAAAATAGTGTTTTGTAGTTGAGAACTTGCTCTATCAGTTTTATTGTGCTTTTGGTATGTGTTGTAGTTACATGGAAATCAATAGGAGGTGTTACTTTTGGAGTGACCTATATCTATTCAGGATATCAGCAGTGAGAGTTGCATTGTAGATGTCAAAGTGTATATATGATGGCACTTAGAACTTTTTACCTTGAAGCTGTCTAGCTATAGTATGACTTGAAAAATAAAACCTAACAGTGGGCATTTAAAAGAAAGTAATTTAATTGCAAGTCCAAAGAGTAGTTCCATGAAAGGAATAATAACAGAAAGCTCTTTTTTGTGGGTATCTTTTCACAGTTATTAAGCAGTGACAGTGTGAAGAAACCACTGAGGTCTGTGTTTTTGCTCCAGCATGATGCTAACATTTCTGCCAAGTAATTGCTATTAAGGATATCTGGGAATAGATCTTCTTCTTAATCCAGATTATTTTTTCTCCTCCCCAAATTTAAAATGTGATTATCTCCATGGTTTAATCTAATAGCTAGTTTTAGTTAGTGAAAAATAAGAACAGAGAGAGAAAGAATGGGAAGGATAACAATTTCTCTGCTTCTCAGTTTGAAAGCAGACTGGTAGAGTAATAGCAGGAATGCTCAGTGGAGCATGTGAGAGTTGCAGTGCCCAGCCCAAGGTGTTTTTCCGCTACTATAGGCCACCAAACACTTCTGCATAATAGCAACACTCTTTCTAAACTGTATTATTAATCATTTGAAAAAATGCGTATCCAGGGAAGGGGAGTGCAGAGTGTTTTTTTTCTCCCCTCTGAAGCATCTATAATTAAGAGTCCTTGCTCAGGTGAAATTACTAGAGGTTCCAGTTTTCATCATTCTTCCCATTCATTTATAGCTACTTTTACAATTTAACTGACATTTCTTTTGATTGATGTCTGAGATCAGAAGTGATGTAACTGCATCTGTGAATCTTTTTGCTTCAGTGCAAATTAGTTGTCAGATAGCATCTCCAGGTTGGTGTTCCTGGTCTCTCTTGGAATCAGCGTTAGCTCTAGATTGGAGTAAGTTTCCAGCCCATTACCTGTATATGTGTTTCTCTCTGCCTGGAAGCCACTTATTTCACTATACTCACTGGCTCCAAGTTGCCTGTCTGTCAGGGACAGCACATATGTATTACTCTGGTGTGTAGAGCTGGCAGCCAGCTGAGGAGATGATGAAAGGAAGTTATGGGACTTAAGTACTGTAACTGCTTCTGTTTTGATGGTTTGTGCAATGTATAGGCCAGTATAGTGTCTAGAGAAGATGCTTTATCTCACCCTACTGTTCTTGTCTGATGCAGGCTGTTACAGCTGCAAAGGACAGTCATAAGCATGGATGCTGAACTTCCAGATGAGCTGCTTTATGGCAGAGCTGGTTACCTGTATGCCTTGCTCTACCTGAATACAGAAATTGCTCCAGACACTGTTCCGCAGTCCATTATCAAAGAGGTAGGACTTTTCTTCTGCCATACACTGTGGCACTGTGGAGAGAAAAAGGTGATGACAGTTACTTCAAGTGGGATACAGGTACTATAGAGCAGTAACGGGTAATAAAGAAGGAATACTGGCTCACCCCTTCCAACAACCTGTGACTGCTCAAGAGAAGTATAGTCGCTATCTAAGAGATGCTACTTCTTCAGCTGTTAACCCATAAATGAGGGTGAGGAGGAGTGGATCCAGGCTCCACCCCTTTAGCCATGCCTTCTCACCTGATGCTCAGCCATTGCTTCAGGCTGTGACCTGGCAGTTCCACTGCACAGAATACTTGTGCAATTGGACTGGAATCATTCCTCATGTAATTCAAGGGATTAGGAGCATGAGGCTGGAGAGGAGAGAATCTACAACTACAAACTCAGTCTCTTTTCCTGCTGCCTGGCTGGGATTGAAATGGAAGCTAACGTGGCAGGTCTGCAGGTAGCTATGGAAATGGATCTGCTGTGAAACTGGGCTTGGAGCAGTTGAGGGTGAGAAATCGTTATGGAAAACCTGGAAAACCTTAGGAAAGAAGTGTGAAGAGGGAGAATTCAGTGGGGAACGTGCATGTCTTCTTCAGATACCAGAACCAGAGAAGGCAGGCCTGGAAAAAACTGACGAGAAGCTTTTAAGATTCAGTTTCTCTTATAAATCTAAGTGATTCTGTCAGTGAGGCAGAAACTTCCTTCTTACCTCAATACTCAAGTCCAAAGGAATATCATGGTCATTCTGTTTATTGTGGCTTATATTCAGTGTGATTCTAGTCACGACAAAACTCTCTGAATCAAAGCAAATGAGATGGAAGAGATGTGTTTTCTTTCTTAGGTAATAGATGCCATTATTGAATCAGGGAAAAACTTCTCGAAGGAGGAACGTAAAACAGAGCGTTGTCCTCTGTTATATCAGTGGCACAGGAAGCAGTACGTTGGAGCGGCCCACGGCGTGGCTGGGATCTATTACATGCTAATGCAGGTAAGAGTGTCTTCTGTGGGCTGGGATGAAATGCCAGTGATGTCTTGTTTTGCATCAGAAGATCTCCATTTCAGGTTTCAAGCATGCACAGTGCAGTGTTGTGGTAGGTCAGGGATTCAGAATTAGGAGTTAGACCCTGCAGCAAAGAACAGCACTAAAAAAGGCCCCAGTGGCAGAAGAAAACTGTGGCTTGTCTATCCTTGCATTGGTGTGAAATAAGCCTTGCCTCTCAGCATCAAGGCTTCTCTAATGCTCCTGTTAGACCTCCGTCTGGGGGACTCATTTTTGTGCAGTTTACTCCAGGATGTCAACGTTGTGTTGTGCTTGCATGGCAAGACCTATGTCCTTGCCCTGAAGTAAATGAGGTATTTGTGAATGTGTGTGGGTTGCATTTGAGAGCATCAACATTCTGAAATTTTCTATCCTCAAGAAAGAGAGTCAGGTACTCATCCTCATGTTTACTTTTTCTTATACTTGCAGTTAGGCAAGCTAAATATTCATTTAGCTCAGCATCCATCACTCTTCAGTTTTTGCTATTTTACTTTTTGCTATTTTTCAGTGAGTGATCACTGCCTCCTGTCCTTCATGTCCTTTTTTTCTTCTGTGACTTATTTTTTTCCTACCGTGTAGAAGTTTAAGGAAAGTAGTCCTTAATCACATATTCAGTATGGTTTTATTAATTTATGCTCTTCCTTTTCTGCCTCTCTTCTCTCTCTGCCCCCAAAAAATCTGATGTTCCTGATTGTGTTTCTGACCCCTGCTCTTCTCTTCATGTTTTACTGAGATACCTCTCTTTTGTACACCTGTATATCGTACTTAAATCCCTTCTTCCCCCTGCTTTTATATCCTCAAATAGTATTATGTTTTTCAAGACAGACCTGTATGTCTGTTCTTTTGTTGTACAGTCTGGAAGTAGATCCCGTATGTTTCATTACAGAAGTTGGCCATAAAGCTGTATCATACAATTTTCTGGTTTTGAAAGATGCTGCCGGTCTCTGCATCATCGTAAATGGTAATTTTCTGATCGGCTTATGGAAAATGACTGTCCTTCAGGCAAGTGGAAGGAATGTACATCCTCACCTCTCAGCCTAAAGATCTGTACAGATGCTCTTCGCAAAAGTGACTGAGGTAGCATTAACTGTTGCTACTGCTCACCATTCCTCTTTTGCAAAAGATGCTGTGACTTTTCTGCGCCTGCTTCAGATCAGCTCACGCCACTTCTACCAGTAGTTCATGCTAAAGCAGCTGACTTTGATGTGGAAGTGGCTGTTGCTCTGCTGCCTGGGGTCTTCTGTACAGTGGACATCTGCTGATGCCTCGGGATGCTCTAATTTACTGTGTCCTTATCTTCACTTCCTGCTGTCCTTGATGGTTTCTTGGTGGTTCACCCTTTCCAGCTATCTCATCTTACCTGACTTCCCTTTTTTTTCACAGGGTTTTCTGAGAAACATCCATTTCTTTAAAGAAGTCTTTTTAAAGACTCCATCCTTTATTTGCTATTCAAAGTCTGATACCACAAATGCAGTGTGTTCTTGTTTAAGCTCTACTCTATCTACATGGTAAAATCATAAATGTCTTTTCCTTTACATCTAATTGCTGTTTTTAAGAATTACCACAAAGCCATTGTTTATGCAGCATTAGATTACTGTCTTTTCACTGTACATTAGACATTGTGAGTCATACAGAGTTGAGTCATCTGCTGCAGATGAAGATGACGTGTCAAAGTATGTCCTTCCCCCCATCCCTCCTACTCCATGTGAGGAAAATTTGTCTGTATATTCAGCAAAAAAATCATTATATGATTTGCTGGGTGGTTGTTTGGTAACAGAGAAAGCATCCAAATTAGCACCTGAGATACAAAGACCACCAATTACTGCTTCTGTGTAATATCTTTGTGAGGGAATGTGTCTAGGATCTTCTCATAGACAACTACAGTGAGCGTAAGGGCTCAGCAGTGTTAAGTAAGTAATCCAGGAGGCAGAGGAGGTGATTCTATAGCTGGGAAATCTCCAGCTCCTTCACTGATGCTGAGACAAAAATATCTATTTGAGTATCTGTCCTCTTGGCTAGATAATGAGGACACATATCAGTAGGTTACTTTTTTGCTATTGGCAGTTAGGTGCCAGGAACCTCAGCAGTTCAGGAGAAAGGGACTTGCTTGTGCATAGATCTTCGTAGAAGCATAAGGTGAGAAGGTATGTAAAGAATTCTGTTCTTGTGACAGTCATAAGCTCACTTAAACCCTGCTCTGTGCTTGCCTTGAACAGCTCAAAACTGAATAGCACTTATTGCTGGTGCCTGTCTTACCTTTTGCTGCAGGATTCCAATATGAAATCAGAATCCTGAAACAAAGATTTTATGAGACCTTCCATACTCTGGGCTTATTAACTCCACGGTGTTCTTAATGAGTAGCTGATCTATATTCAGGTGTCCTTGCACTCAGAAAAGGACAGAAGGGGAATTTGCTTTAGTGATATGGTGGGCAGGAGTCCAGCATAGCTTTCCTAACTGAGGTTAAGTAGAGATTATTTCAGATTACTGAGAATATAGATACTTGAAGTCATGTAGCTGTAGGACTGTGAATGATAGCAGCATTCTTAGCCCTTGAATGCGAATGTGCTGGTAGGAAACAATAAAATTGTATGACATAATCAGCAAAGACAAGTCATTTATAACCAAAATAGACCAGTTATTAGCTTCTGTAGACTCCCACAGTTGTTCCACCAGTTGCTAGAACTCATTAAATTATCCAGGCTGTGTAAAAATAGAGAGCTTTGTTATGAAAATACTGTGAAGTGGGCCGGTAGAGGAAGGAATATCAACTAAGAACAGCTACAGACCGGCAGACACTGAGGAAGTGCAGTTTGATGGATACATTTGCCTTTTGGGAAGGATGTAAACTAAATGAAAGAAATAGATTATTCTGAATCCTTCTTTCCTAAGGATGAATGCGTAGAAAAAAGATACTTAATTGCTTTGAGAAGTAGCTGTTGCTTCTGACATTAGAGATGCAGTTTTATAATCCATAGCTTCATGGAGTTCTGTTTGCAATGGAAAACTTCAACCTTAAACGTTTGTCAGGTTTGTCCACGTTAGTTATTTTTAAAATGGATAACCCACTGTGTTTTAAGTAAGCATTATAAGCAACTAATCTATAAAACTGTCTTCTTCCTGTGAGCACTCTCTCAGTATTAAGATATAAACAGAAGCATCTTGAAGGCTGCGTTCTGTTCTCAGTTCTTCTGTAGTCTTTCTGTGTCACCTCAAGTAAGACAGGTAACAACTTGGCGTCCCAGTTTCTTTATGTTTGTTGTAACACTCTCTTTGTAAGGATATTGTGAACAGACACTAATTAAATCTGCCTGAAGTGACAAAGGATTTTGGATCAAGGGCGTATATGTAGAGTAATGGAAAATAGGGCACGTAATTGTTGTTACCCAATTTATTACTACTTTGATTTTGTTTTTTTTTCTGTGTTGTCTTTAGCCAATTGCAAATGTGGATCAGGAGACCTTGACAGAGTTGGTGAAGCCAAGCATTGACTATGTGCGCCATAAAAAATTCAGATCTGGGAATTATCCATCGTCATTGAGCAATGAGACTGACAGATTGGTTCACTGGTGCCATGGTGCCCCTGGAGTCATCCACATGCTCATGCAAGCTTATAAGGTGAATCATTCTGTGTTTGTATAAACCCTTTTTTTTTCTTTTTTTCTTTTTTTTTTCAGAAGGACCTGTACGTAGGCCTGTTGGATTCTAAGTCCTGTGTTTTAAGTCTTTCTGGATCTAGGCTTTCAAATGAGAACCCTGGGCTAGGCACCTAGATATCTCAAAGTTCTATGTACGAATGTTTGTAAAGAAGTAATAAATAAAATTGCTTCTTGGGATGTGAGTTGTTAATAGACTTGAGGCTTTCTTGAAAAAGCGCCAACGTAGTTCATCAGCTTGATATCAGAATCCTGGTTTTGAGCAGTTCTGGCCTAAGTTATTTTAATCTTCATCCCAAGCATTTTAAGAATTATGTTGGTTTTTAAAAATGTAGGTTCACGTGTTTTGCTAAAGAATGTCTTTCTGAATTACTCCATTATTTTGTGACGGTACTTCAGAACTTAATGTCAGAACAAAGATGCCAGGCCCATTCTAGGGCATAAATGTAACTCCCTAGGTATCATGAGCCTCCTGCTTGCTCCTTTCCATCCTTAACTAGATTGGCTATCTTGCTTGTGTTGTGCGCTTCTGATTTGCATGACTTTTGAAAGTGTGCCATTTAATTAAATTTATGCAAATTTATTTCTGCATTTGACAGCCCTCTTTGGCAGATTCCTTGGTTGGCTTTTGGGTAAGCTGATAAAAAGCAGGTTTTGTTTATGGAATAATTACTTACGCTGCTACCTGTGAAATGTGAACTCTTACAGCACTGCTAAATGCAGCAGCAGTCACATTTGCTTTTGCTTTGGACTGTAGTAGGAGGCTGGCTTATCACTGCAGACCTTTCCAAGATGAGAGAGGAATAGGACCAAGTTCTGCTTAGCAGTTTTCCTTTGTCCTCTTTTTCTGTGACAAAGTGATGCTTTTTCTCTTTTATCTGCTCTTTGAAAGATTAAGAAAAATTGGAGTATGTTGTGCTGGCTGTGCTTTCACATCAAGCACTGGGACTTCTGATAACAGACAGCAGCATTAATCCTGGAAATCAAATGCTGTTGCCAGACCTTCATTTGAAATGTTACTACTGAGTAGCTGACAGACCTGATCAGAAAGGGAGATCTTCTTTATCAAGGTTATGGATTTACTAGAAACACTTAACATTCAAGATCTTACATTAATAAATAGCATCTTTGTAGAGGATGCCATCTGCAAAAAAACATCTGCAGCAGTGTATAAATTATTCTTCTTACTTTGTCTTGTTAATCTATTGTGTGACTCAGGCACAGGAGAAGAGAGTGTTATGTAGATGGAAGTCTGTGGTGCTGTTCAGCTAAGCTGCTGAACAAAGAAATGCACTTCAGTATATTTTGTAAATCTGATCCTTTGCCCAAATTGGCTTTACCTCTGATTACTTCCCATGCAGGTACTAACCAAGGTAATGGAGTGCTTCTACTTCTGCTTGAGATAGAGAAGAGAGCCCTGTTCTTTGCAAAGTGATACTCTTGCATTTTTTGGTATGGAGTTGAAAGCAGGCAGTGAATAACCAGTGAGAGTTACTCAGAAGCATGAGAACCTAGCTATTCAGGACCAAATTTGATGCCCAGTGTTGTTGCATTTCTTGGAGACAAGAATTATATTTCTCTATTTCAAATCAGATAATGTAGTGATTTGGGACTGGGGGAGGGGAGTATAAGAGGATCATGTACCCTTCAAACTGATTACAGCCTGTGGAACCAAGGGCCATGAACTTGTGAGTTTTTTCTTTGGGATCCTCATTTCAGATACAAAAGCATTAACACTTTCCTTTTTCCATGCAGGGAAAAAAGAAGCGACTTAGAAGAAAGGCAAGTCTGTGATGGATGGAGTCTTAAAATTCAAAAATAAACTGTATATGAAAAACTCCACCCCTACAGCAAAGCGTTTTCCAGGTGCATCATCCTTTTGTTTTTGTTAATACTGCTATTTATATGTTTGTTTTTGTTCCACAGACTTTTAAAGAGGACAAGTACTTGAAAGATGCTATGGAGTGTAGTGATGTCATCTGGCAAAGAGGTTTATTGAGAAAAGGCTATGGGATCTGCCATGGTACTGCTGGCAATGGCTACTCCTTCTTGTCTCTCTACAACCTAACTCAGGACAAAAAGTACCTCTACCGAGCTTGCAAGGTGAGCTTTCTACATCCCAACAAAATTACTGTTCCTTTTCCTGCATTTCATTTCATGTAATTTTCCTTTCATTTCTATGTGGTAAATAGAGTGATCAAACTAAGTTACTGACTGTTGCCTTTGAAGCTAACTCAGTGGGACAAGAGCGTAGCATCACATATTCCTCTTAACTAATGCTTTGACTAGACAACTTCAACTCTGCTTATGTGGACACTTATGTCTTAATATGTAGACTGAAAAAAATACCCTAAATTTTTTACACCACTTTGCTGTGGTGTAAATGTCTGAAAATTAGCTTGCCTGAACAATAAGAGATGAATGTTATGTGGTGCTAATTATTCCCTTGAGAGCTCTACTGTCATCCTCAGCTCCTCAAGCGATGCTGTTTGTAGTCTTTTGTAATTATTTGTTTTCAGACTAGTGTCTGGGGCTTTCAGAGCTCTGAATTGCAGTTATTTAACTGCTCATTTAGATTTTTTTCATTAATACAAATTGTAGAGAAAGACATGCTCAGAATTTTTCTGCCAATCTAGTTTCTGCTGTCAACTGCTATCAGCTCTGATTATGCTAGCAATTCTCAAAGAAGAAAGCTTTTTTTGCCCCTATTTCTTGATCTCAAAAGAGCTTTTTGTTTCGTCTTCTACTTAATTTACTGATACTGAATTTCATATTGCATATACAGCTATTTAATAGAGGTTTGTTTAAAGGTAGTACAATGGGAGATTTGATGAGTTGCATCTTGGGCTCTTATAGGTGAGCCACATTGAAAGCTACTGCTTTCATTTCTACTGTCAGCCTGTCCACAACCAGCAGAGCTTTAAAAAGTTGATATTTGTGTCATCTTATATTCACCTATGTACCAGCCATGAGGTCACCTGTACACATCCTAGAAAATACAATAAACCCCTAACACTGCCATGGTAAATATGTGACATTATTTGTGGACTCATCCACTGCTGAAGTGTGAGCTACACTACTGAGCATGCATGGCTCTCAGCACAGTTTCTGTGTCTTCCTGTCATTCACTGCTGTATATTTTCAGGGAGCTCTGTGCAGTGCTGCCAGTTTCCGTTGCTCTGCATTTCTTGACCGGAGGAGCCCTGTAGTTCTATGATGCTTTGTTTTGTTGGGGTTCTGGGTTTTTGTTTTGTTTGTTTTGTTTGTTGGGTTTTTTTAGATTCAGGACAGAGCTTCCAAGGTCTGAATGGCTCTTTCTTGATGACTTTATTTATGATGATTTTTTTCCTAAGACTTGGGGGGAGAAAATAAATAAAGCTATTAATGGCAGTTGGAGATTTAGTATTCTAAGTCAGTGTATGGAAGTGGAAGAAAACAAAAATGCAGTTAACAGCTCTTTAAGTCCTTAGGAACTGGATGAGTTAAGCACTGAGACATATAAGAACTGATGTTATATTAGAAAATTTCTGACTTAGAAACTGTTTGTATCTGTTCTTGCAGTATTTCTTCACTGGTTTGTTGCACAGGTTATTTAAAAACTGGGAATTAAGTACAGCCCATCTAATTATGTTGTTGCAAAGTTGTAACTCCCACTGTTGAAATACATGTCTTAAAGAATAATTGCATCCTTGTCACGAATGAAGTGGGATTAATTAGTCTTGTACTGTGTTGCGTCTCTGCTTACACTATTTTACATTTAGTACCTGTGAAAATGTCTTCCCATGCAGGTTTCAAACTTGCATTTAACGATCTTAAATTTAAAATTAATCAATAAATACATTTTATGTTTCCCACAGTTTGCTGAATGGTGTTTGGAATATGGTGCACATGGATGTCGTATTCCTGACCGTCCTTATTCTCTTTTTGAAGGTAAAGTGGTTGTATTGCAAATAGTATTGTGTTGTACAGGATAGAAGGGCTACCTTGCAGTTTTGGGACATGCTTGGGAGTTTGGAAATATTTTCCTAGAGCTTTATATGTTTTCTTTATTTGTAACTTTTTTTCTACACCGTATCTCATCGCTAAGTTTTAAAACACAGTAGCAAGAAATCACAGATAAAGTAGGATATAAAACAGTGCTGCTGTTCTGAGAGCAGTGAGCCTAATGTGCCACCTATCACAAGTAAGTGAAATTACAGCACACAAAGCAGGTTTATTTTACAAGTAAACCAACCCCAGGCATAAACACAAGAGAGCAGTAGTTGTATGCATCTCTTACAAATACAGAGTTATTGTGTTGATGTTTATGGGGAAGAAAGGACAGCGTTCTTATCCCTGGGGGATCCCTTGTAGGCATTTGTAGAAGGAAGAGGCAGACAGACAGTATGTAGTAGAAGAGCTTTGATACTTGATGTGGAGCAATGCCAACAGTAGTCAGGATGATTTCTGCTTCAGTGTTGATGCGCATTTTATTGCATTTTTTTAATGTAATTTTTTTTAAAGACCTCCTTGTGTCAAATTTGAGGAAAAAAAATACTAATTTTTTTTTCCTTCCTGCTGCCCCCTTCATGAACAAAGAATGAAGGGGTGTATCACGGGAGTAATAAAATTGCACCTTTGCTTTTGGACTCAGGAAGTGATCAATGAGAGTTGCTCAAAATGTGAGAGATGGTCCAAACTGGGATTTACTTTTTCTTAACTGAAGTAGCACTGAGATTGTGCTGCTAAGAACAGTAGCAGAGATAAGCCTGTTTCTGCCTTTGAGCTTTTCAAGCGGAAGTTAGTTTCCTAGGCAAATACAATAAACTTGCCTTTCTAGAAGTTGTACGTTTACTCAGAAAAGATTTAGCAAGGTGCTAGATTGCCTTTGCTGTCAACAGCGATATTTCAATGTCCCAAGATGCAAAAAATCTGTCTCCTTGCTTTGTAGGTATGGCTGGAGCTATTCACTTCCTCTCAGATATTTCAGTACCAGAAACTTCCCGGTTTCCAGCGTTTGAACTTGGACCTCAAAGGAGGGAAGACAAAATGGAACAGGACAGCTAAAGGGTTCTTTGGAAAGTAAACACATGCCAAAAGAGATGAGACTGTTTAGTGCCTCTGATATAGAGCCAACGTAACCCTAAGCTGATTGATGGATAAACCGTTTCTCACTTCTCCTGCCCCAAGGGACATGAAGTCCTTAGAGCATGAATTGAGAGAAGCTACATTTAAGTTCTGTTAGTGACACCTTCACATGCAGAACGAGGGAAGTCAAATTTGCACTTTCTCTCTTTCATTGTATTTGTCTTCTTCAGGTCTTTGACATGACCTGCATGTTTATTGGTGTTGTCTGTTGATTCGAGTCTGTTGTTGTTAGCAAAGAGCTGTTCTCTGTGTGAAGCTCCATCCTGTACCTTCATGCATGACCTGTAACAACAGTGTTGCTTTCTGCAGTGTGGTTAGCCTGAGAGCTCCACTTTATGCCAGAGAGTTCACTGTAAGAGAGTACTCAGCTTCACTAGTGAGCTGACAACTTCAAAAAGAGATGGAAAACATGCTTTTCTTCATTGCTTTCTACATTTTTCTCCTCTACAGTCCCTAGGTCATGGAGATCAGCCTTGCCTGATGAATTGGTATGAGGCCTTCTCAGTTTTCAGGAGTGTATCAGGTTAGATGTGGCCTGTGGCCTGACTTTTCTTTTCTTTTGCTGTTTTAGGAGCCTTTTTTTTTTTTTTTTTTAATTTTTCAGAGAGAGAGAGTGAGAGAGGCTGCCTGCACCTGGTTTGTGTGCTAGGGGGAGATGCTTATCCCCACCTTTGCATGTTAGGAGCTTACCAAACTGCAGGCAGTCACCTGAAGTAGCCTCCTGCTTCCAACAAGAGAGAAGGGACAGTGTAACTACGCTTTTCCACTGTGGTTCATGGATTTGTAGTAAATCTCTCTTCAACAGCACATAGCATACAGATGAAGTCAGCACTGTATCTCATGCTGGAAAATCAGGATGACTATTACTACTGACTCAAGAAGGTGGATTGTTCCAGGCCTTTCCCTCCCTCTCCTTACCCCATTGCATTTATCCCATGCTGTGTGACAGAAGTGATAAATACCAGCTGCTTGTGGAGGCTGCAGAAGATCAATAAGCAATATATATGCCATTGCTAAGAGCTGTAATTGAAGTTTATTTTGTCTTAAAATCAAGACAGAAAAAGCGTTTTCTCCTTAGTTTTTGACTGAGTTGTTAGTGCTTTGCTTCCCCCTGCTGTGCGGTGGAGTTGTGGAGTATTGAGTCTTCTCTCAGCTGTCAAAGTGTAAGTTCTGCCTCCGTGTGCTCATACAGGGTTCTTTGTCTGGGAGAAGTGGAACATACTCTTAAGTAGGTACATCTACAACGTATTCCTGTTTTCCAGATAAAGAAGTATGCATGCTATTTGAGAAGGGTAAGAGTGGCATTCTCTCATTTGCTCAAATTCTGTTGTCATCCTCACCTTCCTCACAGGCCTTGTTGTGTTCTGCTATCTCAGGTGCTTATTTTAACCAGTACCTTACATCAGGTGAAAATGTGACAGGTGGCTGGGACTCTGACCTTTCAGGTGCCCATTGGGATATCTGCGACCATGGGCAACTGCTGAATCCTCAGCGTTTGTGGTCAGACTTGGAAATGCATGCCTGTACCTGCATGCAGGGAAGCAGGAGGCTTCCCTGAACATTGACCTGTCTGTTGCCAAATCCTTTGGGGTGCTAATGTTTTCTGGATTCAGTTCTGCTAGGCGATAGCAGCAGTGCCAGTGCTGAGAGAGCTTAATGTCTGCTGATTTGTCAGTTAAGATTGGGAGCAGTGAGAGAGACTTTTACGCTCCTCTGAGAGTAGATCTGCTGGGGCACTGGGCCCAGATGCATTTGTGCAGCCAGGCAAGAGGGAAGATTCTGAAAGGCAGCAGGGAGGAGGGTACTGCGTGGCAAACAGCTGTGGTGAAGTGACCCTGGTCAAAGAGGCGGAAAGCAGTGGGATCAGTGAGGGATGGGGAGCTGCTCGCGGGAGGCAGTGTGCAGAGCTGCAGTGTGCATGCTGAGGCAGAACTCTCTATTTTTTCTGTCATCTCCCTGGATTACTGCCTGTAATCCAGGGAGGAAACTAGCTCACAGTGAAGCCTGACAGAAAGCCTAGCAAAAGAAGACGTGGAGGTTTAAAAAAAAAAAAAAAAAAAAAAAAAAAAAAAAAAAAGAAGAAGAAAAACACTACCTGATCCTGTTTCACATCCATTCCCACCCCTTCCTTCTCCTTCGTCTCCTCTACACCTGTAAAGTGCATGAGGTGGGCTAACGGGTGGGATGCATTCCTCTGCCAGGTCTGCAGGAGCTCCTGCAAACGCAGCACAGAAGCCACCCACCTTCCTGGCAGATCCAGGCCTGTCTTTCATGACCAACAAGCTGGGGGCGACAGGGAAAGGCTTTTTCATTCATTTGTTGGGAGCCTTCTTGGCTGCTCTGCTTGGGATGGCACCTGTGAAATATGGTGATGTTGGCTGGCTGGTATTCAGGGAGAATTGAAATTCCTGGCTTGTTTAAAAAATGTGGGTGCACACGCATGAACTGCTTAACAGTGAGTAGAGACCAGAGGTGCATGATTGCCACAGTCAATGGAGTGAGCACGTCCTCTGTGTGCTCCTGCACTGCAGCTCTGCTGTGGGGTGAGGCCCAGCACCAGGTTCTCTGCAGAATTATCTTGGAATTGAGCAAGGCTGGAAATGTGGTATATCACAGAAGGTCTGCGAGTACCTGTGCTTTGTCTTCCTCACATGGCTCTCACTGCAGCTCCTCCCTTTTGTATGTTACACCTTGTGATATCCAGGCAGCTGTTACAAAGTGTATTGTGAGAAGGGGTGGAAAAAATACATTTTAACAAGACACCATTTTCAGAAATCTCATCGAACTAAAATGTGGAAAATCGCTAAATATTCCCTGTTTTGCTTTGTCCATGTGTAGTAGTCCATCTGTTGCAAAAAGCCGTAGTGTTAAAAATGGAGATGTTCTTTGGGCAGAAAAAAGAGGAAAAAATGCTGATGTGTTGTTCTTTGGCTTTATTAGTAAAGATCAAGTTATGTGGTGGTAATCTGTGTGCTGTTCTTTTGTGTGTTGTATGATTTCCTTCCCTTCCACAGTGGTCACTGGGAGCGGTTCTCTGCTCAGATTGCTGAGCTGCTTCCAATTTCAGAGTCCTGCAGGATGAAACAGTGGCCAAAGTATGGGCAGATCTCTTCTTAACCTTCACTTTTTTCTTTTTCTTTACTCAGCTTTACTGAGCTTTTCCCTTTGGTCAGGTCCTGTTGGACAGTTTGCAGCTCGAACTGTATTTAGGACCGGGTGGTTTTTAAGAACAAATATATGAAACATCTGTCTTGCTGACAGCTTTAAGAAAGCTTGACATTTTCCCTTAGCAAGGACTTAACAGAATTAAACTAAGTATTCTGCAAGCAAGAGGCAGTATTTCTACTTTCACAAAGCCAATTCACGGCCCTCTGCTACCGAGAGCAGCTGCTGCTGCTTCCTCCCCCTCCTTATTTAATAGGCTCTAGGTACAAACCTGAAGACAATCTAAAAACACTTTCCTCCATCTTATGGCAGCTGTTGCCAGGTAAATGTGGTGGGACTTCCTAATGCAGCGAGTCATGGGTTCAAAGTGCTGTTTTCAGGCAGGAAGAACTGAGGTGTGTGAGGGCAGAAGCAGGAGGGCTGCCTGCTGCAGCACAGGCTATGGCTGAGCAGCACTGCCTGAGCCCTGTGCTGGTGCGGCGCTCAACAAAGCAGCCACTTTCTCCTAGTGGCATTGCATTGGCATTTTCCTATTTGTTTCACGTTATTTACAGGGGCAGGAGTTCTGTCTGCACCCAGTAGAGCAGCTGCAGTTTGCCAGGAGCATCAGTGACCTGTGTTCAACCACTGCTGCTCCTCCACAGATGTAAATGTGAAAGTAAAAAGAAGTACTTAGCGCTGCTCACCAGTTCTATAAACCATATGTAACATTTCAGCTCGGAAGTAAGTCCCTGTGATGCTCTTTCCTCAAGCTTTTATTATCACCTAATCGTAAGAGAGATGTGTCAGGAAAATGAATACCACATTCCAGGTTCTAAGAATTTTTTGTTCGACTTCCAAAAATTCCGTTATTCCAAAGAGATGTAAAAATGTCCCCTATCTTTTTTCAGAGGTTCTGCTCCACCAACTTGTTTAATATTTTAAAGAGATTATTTATAATTTCTTCATTTATCATTGGTGCTGTTAGAAAAATAAATTCAAAGCTATTTAAAGAGGAAGAAGTTAAAATTTCTACTCTATTTTCATAGAATTACAGAACGTTTTAGGTTGAAAGCATCCATACAGTTCCAACCCCTGTGCTCTGGACGGGGTGCCAACCACTAAATCAGACACTAGAACCAACTGGACCTTCAACGCCTCCAGGGAGGGGACATCCACAATTCCTTTGGGCAGCCTATTCCTGCACATCACCACCCTCGTACTGAACCATTTCCCCTGACATCTAACATAAACCTCCCTTCTTTTAGTGTAAAACTGTTTCCTCTGGCCTCATCACTTCTACTAGTGTGGAAGGTTTATTTCTCCTCCTGTTTATAAGCTTTTAAATATTGAAAGGCCGCAGTGAGATCTCCCTGCAGGCTTCTCCAGGATTTTCCTCCTCCCCTCTCCTCTCCTTCTCCTCCTCTCCTCCTCCCTTTTTCCTTTTAAGTTCAGCAACATATGTTTCCCATTTAAAATGTACTTTTTCTTATACGAGTGTTTTGGCTTGATTTATAACCAAAATAGTTAAAGGAAACAGGTTACCAGTTTCATTAAAGAAGAACTGTTAGGAACACTTCTTCCGAGATACATATACTATTGCATCTGTAAAACCTTGATCTTTATACAGCCGTTAGCTGATTTTTCTCAGTAAAAGTCCTTTGATCCTGCTCTTTTTCTATTAAGTAATAATGCTACCTGCTACTGGAAGTTTAGTTTCGGACATGCAGAATGTAATTAAGAAACTTTACATAATCTCTTTGAAAAAAAAAGGTAGATTAGCATTTCACATATTTTCCTTTTAAGAATATATTTTAACAGACAGTAGCAGGATTCCGAAAGAATGTCTTTCTACATTTTGAAGACTTGTGAATGTCCGCAGGAAATTAAGCTGGATTCTGAGTAACACTAGCAAGCTGCTAATGTGCAGGATGTGTGTCTGGAACTACCTGGGCATACTGTAAGGAAAAAGATGGGAATAAAGGAAAGGTTCATCTGGAATCTGTGGTATTCCAACCTTTACACTTTTTCTTTCATAGAACTTACTGCCAAAAAAAAGGAGCTGCAGGATCAGGCTCCCATGGCCTCTTCTTCCCTCAGAATGTTCGTGTTCTGGGAGAGGATGAAGTAGTTTTAGAACACTAGTATAATGTACGTAAGTATGGTGTGTATCTGATGTGTTCATAACATTCTCTTGTTGCACTAACTCTTTGTAGAGAACTAGGTACAATCTGATGTTAGGCAATTCACTGTTTCTTTTTCCCACTTGGGCTCTTGCAGGGCCCAACTGACAACACCTGGGTTGGAGAGGGATAAAAAAAAATAGAATACCACTCATAGGTACAGGGGGTACAGGCAGAGGTCTGACGAGTAAGTAATCTACTGAAAACCCAGGCGTTACAGTGGATGCCATACTAAATGAGAGCCAGCACCGTGCTCACCTCATGAATAAGGCAGACCATACCATTGGTGCTGGTGAGTCTGCCCCTGGGTTTCTGTGTCCAAATTTGGGGCCTCTCATTTCAGAATGGTTGCTGATAAACTAGTGTGGATCCAAAGAGCTGCCAGGATAACAGCGTGTAAGGGAGAAGGATGGAGCTGGGCTGGTTCAGTCCAGCAGAGGCGGCTGAGGGGAAGTTTCACAGCATCACACCTGCTGGTGGGAAGCTTATCAGCAGCAATGCACGGTCGTGTAAGATGGTCTAGCCCAAGGCTATACCAAGCAAATACCAAGCAAACTTTTTGTTTGTTTGCTAAAACATTAAAAAGAGAGAGCAACAAAGCCATAAAACCAGCGGGATGTCCGACCTTCTTGTTGTGAAACTAATCTCTTAGTGAGTTCTCAAGGTGTTCATCAGAGATTTTTGATGAAATTTTACTTTCCCCGTGCTTCGTTCTTAGGAAAAATTGCTAAGAAATGTATGTACTGCCAAAAGCAATTATATTAATAAAACATGACTTGAAGCAGAGGTTGTTTCTTTCTTGTCCGAGAGGGTTTATGAAGGTCTGGTAAAGAGACACAATCAGATCAGTGAGTGGAGTATCTGATTGTAACTCTATACATTCCATTTGAAAACTTGCAGGTGTATTTATGTCAGCAGAATGCGGAGGTCACAACTGCAGCAAAATGGCACGGTGCAGGGTGAGCACAGGCTGAGCTAGGGGCCTCGTGTGTTCCTGTCCAAAGTCAGCTCTTAGTGCCATGAGGTGGTGCATTTAGCAACCCAAAACAGAGCTCAAGCTGCCTGAACACCTATCTTTGGATAAAGATTGGACCAAGAAATGACTGGGATGATACTCAAGAAATGTGCTAACTCCCATCCTGGGAGCAGCACCTACATGCACGTGTCCAGCAACACAACCCATTTCTCCAGCCAAGCAGCACTGATGAGCAAGATGAGCAAGTTTGTGGCATTGCTCCCTCCATACTGCAAGTAACAGAGCTTCACAGCTCAACACTGACATGCTGTGGTTCTACAGGAAGCACTTCTGCTATGTGATGTGGAGGCTCCTACCAGTTAACTCATGGAAGTTAAAAATAACACCAAAAAGCAGGGATTGTCCAGGTGATGCAGAGCACGAGCCAGCAACCTGGAAACTCAAATGAAAACAGTACCAAAAATGAGACCAGGCCTGTGGCCATGTCTAAGAAATTGTGTTTGCTCATCCTTCAGGAGGAAATGTGATGACTGCGCACCTGGAGGCACGAGCTCTTGCCACTGCTTATGCCCTGGTGCAGTCCCACAGGAGGAAGGCTAGCAGAGCCCAGCCACCATTCAAATCCTTTGCAATACTTCACTGAGGCAGACTGCTACAGCAGTCCAGACTTCACCAACAAGCCTCAGGATGGGCATACCCAGGGCTCTCCTCACTTGAAGCGCTTCCCACACCAGCACAACATGCCAGGTGTAATGAGTTAACTACCAGTGACACCTATTCTCTGGGAGATGTTTCACTGGAGGTTTTCCTGCCAACAGGGACTAGGACCCTCCCACAAGGGCCAAAGCAACACGCCTGCCACCCAGCCTCTGTTGGCAGAGGGAGAAGAAACCAGAGAATGCCACAGAAAAACGAGTGTATGAAGCTGCCTGCCACAAAGAATTTCACAGCTGTGAAGAATGAACATTGGCTCTGTCCTCCTTTGTGCACAGGAGATCACAATTTTAACTCCACTCATTAACAAAAAGAACTTCAAACAAACGCCTCGGTAAAGAGCGAAGAAGATGATCAGAGGTACAACACCATCTAAACTTACTTTAATAAAATCACAGAATCATAGAATCACAAGGTTGGAAAGGACCTACAAGATCATCTAGTCCAAGCGTCCTCCCATCACCATTATTACCACAAGCTACTAAACCATATCTGCATCTCCTACAAAGAATCCTCTCCTACGAAGAAAGGCTGAGGGAGCTTGGTTTGTTCAGTCTGGAGAAGGCTCTGGGGAGATCTCACTGCAGCCTTCCAGTAACGAAAGGGAGCTTATATACAGGAGGGAGATTGACTTTTTATATGAGCCATTGTGACTGGACAAGTGGTTTTGAACTAAAAGAGGGGAAATTTAGGTTTGATGTTAGGAAGAAGTTTTTTACTCGGAGGGTGGTGAGCACTAGAACAGGTTGTGAGTACACCATCCCTGGAGGTTCAAGCCCAGATCTTGGGCAACCTAGTGGCTGGCAACCCTGCCCGCAGCAGAGAGGTTGGAAGTGGGTTGTCTTTAAGCTCCCTTCCAATTCAAACCATTTTGTGATTCTATGAAAAAAAAAAAAAAAAAAGAAAAAGAAAACCTGTCCAAGTTTTACAGGCAATAAAAGCCTGAGACTGTAGAAATACCAAGAAAGCCCATCCTCCAGTCCACCAACCCAGCTTTGAAAAACGTGAATACTTGAATACTTTCATACTGGTGATAAGACCTCGACCAAATTTAGAGGACATCTCTTTTCTTTTTTCCTCACACTTTTTTTTTTTTTGCACATCAGATTAAGGAACTTCTTCAGCACAAGTTCCAAAGAGTTATCTATTTGTCCTAGAGAGGAGAGCATTTCACAGATGTGTCACCCAGAGGCGACAGCTCTACTTCACACTCTTTGTGGCAGCAGCAAGACCGTAATCAAAAGTATTATTTATCAGTGACAAAATTACCATCAATTTCAAAGGGAGCAAACTTGGAAATGTGCTCCCACTCCCTCTTAGTGTAGCTGCTTTCTAATTTAATGAAGAAAACTCTATGTATTTCAGTATTTCTAATCATTTAGTCTAGAGGCACGAGCACAAGTCATTCTGAGATTATAGCACTTGCCTCTCACCACTGATATTTAGGTCATCATCCGTTTCATTCAATCTCACTGCTGGCAAAGCAAGCGTAGCCAGGATGAAGCTCACATAGGCAGAGTCCAGCTTCTGGCCAAGAAACACTCAGCTCACGGTCCTCCACTTTCAAGTGCACCATTTAAAGCACTGAATCCCCAGTCCTAGGGGCACTTGGCAAAGTTTCTTCCATGACCCAGTGAACATCGGTGTCCCAGCCACTCAGCGACTTCTATCACAGAGCCTCTGTGGTGTGCATCAGAACTGAGTTTTACAAGAAAACCGTTGGCAAAAAAGATAGGGCTACCATTTCTGGTAAAAGACCTTTTCTATTTTTACCCTCTTTCTCTGTAATTTTCCCTAAGTGAAGACATTTCCTCCATTTTAGGAGAATGCACATCAATCTGGGGTGGCACAAGGAACTGCTACCGGTTGTCTGCCACAATGTAATTACAACTGTGGGTCAAACAAACAATAAATAAAGAGAAAGACATACAGGTTTTAAATATAGATTTCCATTAAAAGCATTACAAAGACAACTTATTTCATTTTAAAGACAAAGAAAAAATCCACTTCTACTGCAAAAAAATCACCCCTTTGCAAGGAAATTTAATGAGGAAAGGTTCAAGATAGGAAGGGAGAGAGGACATGGAAAGCTAGCAAATGTTCAAAGGGGCAGATGCCCACCATCCTGGTTGTTTTGCAATGGCACCTTCTTCTCCCAGAGTCAGGTCAGAGCCACAGAGTCCTCATGTGGAGGATTTCACCACCTGCTCATACGGAGGAGGTGGTGTGTTGCAGTAGGAAGGTGGAGGAGGGTAAACCGGGTTTCCTTGGGGGGAATTGGGCTGGACATGGAAAGCCATCGCCATGGGATTCATCACAGGTCCGCCTGGGTCTGTGTAATATGGCACTCCAGGTTGCTGTGACCCTGAAATAACAAGAGAGAAAAGGCATCAACAACAGCAGCAGGTAGAAGCCACATTCCTACAGGGCTGAAGAAAGTGTGCCTGTGCTCTGCACACTCAGAGAAGTCTTCTCCACATGTTCATAGGAGTAAGGACAGGAAACTAAATTCCTCCCATCCCAGTGCAGGACCACCTTCACTTACTGAGATTTCACCAAAACGTTTCAGTTTTGCATGCTGTAGAAATAACTTAGCGAAACAAAGGGCACTAATGTCACAACCAAATACCAGCTGAAATGGAGCCCTGCTCTGCTCTCCAGACAGAAGAACTGCTGCAATACAGAAAGGAGAGGCTTGAGATCCCAGATGGACTGCAGCTCCTGACTGAGGTGGAAAGTCTTCTCAGACAAAAAGGACATCACAGCGTGTTCTGTAGCATATTGTATGTTCCTGTACATCAGAATACATCTCAAACAGAACATTTCCCTTTAAGGAGGAATATGGCCACAGAGTAAACTGTACTGAATGAGTTCTTTGCTTCAGTCTTCACTGGTGGCCAGGATTACAGTATTTCTCATGTCCCTGAGCCCTGCATCCCTAAACCTCCAGGTGGGGACCAGGGTGGTAAATCCCTCCCCACTGTGAGGGCAGAGGAAGTCCGAGACCCCCTGATGAGACTGAATGTGTACAAGTCTATGGGCTGGATGGCTGCATCCCAGGGCTCTGAAGGAGCTGGCTGAGGAGTTTCCTGAGCCGCTCTCCATCATATCTGAAAAGTCGCGGCTGTCAGGTGAGGACCTGGATGACTGCAGGAAGGGTCACGTCACTCCCATTTACAAGAAATGGAGCAAGGAGGACCCGGGGAACTACAGGCTTGTGAGTCTCACCTCTGTGCCTAGGAAGATCATGGAACAGATCCTCCTGGATGACATGCTTGATCCCATGAGGAATGAGCGTGTGATCCAAGATAGCCAGCACAGCTTCACCAGGGGAAGATCATGCTTGACCAATCTGGTGGCCTGCTGTGATGGAGTGACAGCATTGGTGGACAAGGGAAAGGCAACCAATGTCATTTAGCTGGACTTGAGCAAGGCCTTTGACATGGTCCCTCACCACATCCTTATCTCCAAATTGGAGGGATGTGGATTTGATGGGTGGACCACCTGATGGATAAGGAATTGGATAAAAGGCCGCAGACATCATCAATGGCTCTGTGTCCAGGTGGAGGCCGGTAACGAGCGGCGTCCCCCAGGGCTCTGTGTTGGGACCAGTGCTCTTCAACATCTTCATCAGTGACAGCGATGGTGGAATTGGGTGCACCCTCAGCAATTTGCTGACAACACCAAGCTGAATGGAAGGAAGGGATGCCATGCAGAGAGACCTCGACAGGCTGGAAAGGTGGGCAGGGTGAACCTGATGAGGTTCAATACAGCAAAGTACAGAGTTTTGCATTTGGGCTGGAGGAATCCCAGGCATCCATACAGACTGGAAGGAGCGGTCCTTGAGAGCAGCCCTGCAGAGAAGGACCTCGGGGTCTTGATGAATGAAAAGCTTAACATGAGCCAGCAGTGTGCATTGCAGCTCAGAAAGCAAATGGGATCCTGAGCTCCATCAGAAGAGGAGTAGCAGCAGGGACAGGGAGGTGATCGTCCCCCTCTGCTCTGCTCTTGTGAGGCCCCATCTGCAGTGCTGTGTCCAGGCCTGGAGCCCCCAGAACAAGAAAGACAGGGAGCTGTTGGAGAGGGTCCAGAGGAGAGCCACAGAGATGATCAGGGTGCTGGAGCACCTCCCCTACGAGGACAGGCTGAGAGAGCTGGGCTTGTTCAACCTGGAGAAGAGAAGGCTGAGGGGTGACCTCATTGCAGCCTTCAGTCCCTAAAGGGAGCCTACAAACAGGAGGGGAGTCAATTCTTGGAAAGGGTAGATAACAGCAGGACAAGGGAAAATGGTTTTAAGTTGAGGGAGGGAGGATTTAGGTTGGATGTCAGGGCGAAATTCTTCACAGAGAGAGTGGTGAGGTGCTGGAACAGGCTGCCCAGAGAGGCTGTGGATGCCCTGTCCATCCCTGGAGGTGTTCAAGGCCAGGTTGGATGGGGCCCTGGGCAGCCTGGGCTGCTGTGAAATGTGGAGGTTCGTGGCCCTGCCTATGGCAGGGGGTTGGAGATTCGTGATCCTTGAGGCCCCTTCTAACCCAGGCCATTCTGTGATTCTGTAAACAAAGCAAAAATCTAAGTTGAAATCAATTATTGCTGGCTAACAAAGTGGGACAAGATTGCTCAGCACAGATTAAATGTTTTTAAGTTAAAAGAAGGGAAATTTAAGTTTGATGTCAGAAGGAAGTGGTAAGGCAGAGGGTGGTAAGGCACTGGGACAGGTTGCCCAGAGAAGCTGTAGATGCCCCATCCTTGAAGGTGTTCAAGGCCAGGTTGGATCAGATCTTGGGCAACTCAAACTAGTGGCTGACAGCCCTGCCCATGGCAAAGGGGCTGGAAGTGGATGTGAGGTCCCTTCCAAATCAAACCATTCTGTGATTCCACGAATGTGGAAAACATCCAGGATTGCTGTGAGACTGATAAAATTTCAGCTAAACAAAGTAGAAGAAAAATTGGTAGGCTCAGCTCAGATTCCAGTAATAACAGTTCAGCAGTAATAACAGCTTGGAAATAGGTGGAGCATGCAGTTTACCTAAGTGTTATATTGTGCTTATTTTATACTTGTCCACAAATTATATTCTGCGAGGTGTTATGAAAAACTAAAATGATGTCCTGAAATTAAATCTGCTTCACCAATTCACCAAACCAGCCAATGACACTCCTTGTTTACTTAATCTTGGAGCTATTTTTCAGGCTTAGGAATATCCTCCAGTTAGTTCAGCTCTCTCCCATCCCTCCACTCCTGAGAACTCTCTATGGAGAAACGTGTGAAATGAGAAAAAAAAAGCTGAATGGATGCTGTAGGATCCTTAGGATTAAGGAAAAAAAAAAAACAAAAAACAACTTGAGATTTTTTTTTATATAAAAGAGTGAGTGGAGTCTTAGTTTGTGTCTGTAACATTTTTATTCACTTAGAGCTGTGACAGAGAGGGAGAAATGCATGTCTATGACCACATGCTTAAGAATGTGCTCTTAAGAAAAGAGCATGCTATGAACAGCATTCCAAAGTCTGTACTCTGCATGCAGGTGTCCAACTGCAGTCATGATGGAGGAAAGAGCCTGAATGCTCCAGTCTCTGTACCATGCTTGTCACAGCTCACTGGAATGGCTTTTACGATAGTTTTCTGTTGAGGTTGTCTAGTATGGCATGGAGATATAATGGTTTAGAAAACAATTCTTTAAAGAGAAGTCTGAAGCACCACGAAGCACCACATTTTCAGAGGGATCTCCTCTTCAAAGAAAAATATTGCCTTTTACTTACACTTCCAAGGCAGTGTAAAACTAGAACAAATCACCAGTTCCTAAAATCTTGTCAGAAAAGGTAGTTACCCTCTGGCTTCAGCACTCTTTAACCCGTCTTGTGACGAAACGACAGCCCAGGGGGAGAAATGTCAGTATACCAACTTTGCCTGCCTATGTGTGTTTTCATGGATGAGTGCTAGCAGAGGCATGTGCCATCAGCAGCGTGGTGATAAGCATCTCATTTTGGCCTTCCTGGGGGGGGGAAGAGACAAATACCCAATTGCCCACTCAGATATGATCCCAATGCCTCACGTATTTCAACTAGAGACAGATGGATTTTAAGTGCTCCCCCAAGGTGCCAACATCTCCTTACAGGTGAGTCTTATTTTGCAGGATTCTCCCAAGTGGGAGACAGCCTAAGTCTAAGAAATAAGAAACTTAAAACAGTATTGCCAGAGGAATCGTCACTATGTGGATCCTCCTGATGCTCGCAGCCATGATGGACCAGCAATCAGACTAACAAAGGGTGAAGGGCAACTATATCTCAGAAAAAACAGCACAGAATACGGAAGACAAATGGAAGAACAGTGTTTGGCTTTCCTTCCCCTCTGTCAAATTTCACCAATTATATTTAATGATACTTAGAGCTCTCTTTTCCAAATTCCTCACATGGAGGAGATATCACTGTTGATTTTGGGTATTCATCATTTCATCTGCACTGCAAAGTGAGCATTCACTATCCTCCTTCCATTTACGGGGACACTACTGTGAAGATGCTAGGAACCACAACAGAAGTCCTGCTATTCTAGGTCTCATACATACTGTTGTGCATTGCTGCTGTACGGTACCATTTGGAAGGCAGAACTTCACTCATCACAGGAGGTGACTGAGTGGGTCAGTGCAGGGCAATTCCTATTCAAAATCCCCCAGTTCTAAAATACAAACACTCTCCCCCCAAAAACATGCTTTTTCAATACCTTGGCAAATGTAAGAAATTAGTGAAATTTGTTTGATGAACATTTTCTGACCTGATGCAGTGTTGACTGGTTGTCTGGTGTAAGACACATTAAAAGTAGGTTCTTCTACAAGTGGAGGAGGGTACATCCGTCTTCGGATAAAGAAACCAGCTCCACAACAGAACAAAACTCCCATCATCAAAAGGAACCTAGGCAAGGAGAAGAAGGAGATCAAAACCCACCTGCATTCAGGGAGCTCTCAAACTGAGACTGTTCAACAAAAGAGTACCGTCTATCAGCCAACAACCTATAACTTTTATCAGGGTTTCTTAAATCACAGAATCACAGAATCATTAAGGTTGGATGGGTTGTCTATGTCACTTGAGATAGCTATAACTTGAGTTGCTTATGTACATACTGTGGACATTTCTTGTCATTTGTATTATTGTTGAATATTTTCTGGCATATAAAACACAAATCCGAAACTGAAGTGCCTTGAACTTTTGGAAAGTTCAGATTCTTATCTGACTTATGACAGTGGATTGTGAAATTGAAATGCTAGGCCCATACAGTTTCAAGCTGCATACCCTAGACCCAAGTCTAGCTCTTAGAGCATCTAAGCTAGTCAGTAGATTTTAGGGGGACTGGCTGTACAAAGAGGAATGCTAATTCTGCTCATCAAAGAAGAGTGCGTTAGACTTAGGTCTAAGTGTGGCACTGAAACAGGCTGCCCAGAGATGTGGTGGATGCCCCATCCCTGGACACATCCAAGGCCAGGCTGGAAGACGCTCTGAGCAGCCTGATCCAGTTGTAGATGTCCCTGTTCGCTGCAGGGGAGCAGGATTAGATTACCTTTAAGAGTCCCTTCCAACTCTAAGGATTCTATGATTCTATGCTCTTAAATGAGTAAAACTGTAATTTTGACTCCCATGGAAAATATGGCAGCTAACACTCAAGCTCAAGCAGAAGCATTCAACAGTGAAAATGACAGAATCACAGCCATGTCATATTTTGCTTTGTACTTCCTAGCCAAGATATATATTTCTAAGGAAAAGGCCATCATTTTGCTTCTGTTCTTGTCTGCTTCTTTTCCAACCTGACTAACCCCTCCTGATGATTGCCCAGCTCAGATGCCCTGCGTCAGGAGATCTTCGTCTTTGAATAGAGACTTTTTCTGAATCTGAGTACTTATCAGACATCATAGCGACTGTGGCCTTGAAGCTAGGGAGGCTATGATAACTGTGCACTTTTGGAAGGGTTGGATGCAAGAAATGGATTTTATTATTCTTTTTTCCTCCTTAAGTTGGCCAGAGGCAAGCCTACACACCATGCTTATCTCCTACAGAGCACTCCCAGGTGCCTGAGAGGAGCCATGGCGCTGAACAACACTAAGATACATTTTATAACAGGATCAAATTTTGTTCTTCTTTCTGCAGTGGACACAAGAGCAGAATGAGGAACTATTTCCCTGAGCCAAAATTAATACATTTCTTTTTGGCAGTGTTCCTGCAACGGATTTGTTCTGAATAGGAAAGCGAATTCACAATTTTACTCTACGGATGCAGATGCAGAACTCCTCAGTTACATCCATAAGGATTGTACTCTGAAATCCCACTGCCAGCTTTCGGAGATCTCTATATTACTTAAGGCTCCTGTTTTTCAGTAGTTACTCATTTCAATTTTTAAGGATTTTTTTAAAGCAGTCTTCAAATTCTACATTAAAAAAATGCCTAAAATCAGGTTTTCTAGGAGAGCTTTTGCTTCCTCTCTACTGTAATGGGAAGGTTTTATTCAAGCGCTTTAAAAAGTTCCTCTCTAAAAGAATTTACCTTATTTTTTTGTTATGCATATAGAAGTTATTAGTTTAAGGTTTATCCACATTACTGAGCTGCTGGTTTCACAAGCTTAAACTTTTCTGCCTTCTTCTCCCTTGTCACCTCCAGTGACATTCTCATTTTAACTGAAGCCTCAATACAGAGAACTGTCATGACATGTTCAAGACATGAAGCACGGAGACTGTCTTAAACCCTGTATGAATGTACAACTCTCCTTACGCAATCTTCTTAAAAAATTTTTAAATTTAGTGCCCAACAAAAATGGACAAATGCTGCCATCTGGAAGTAGCTGGGATGGGTGTAAGGATAAATGTGAGACCACTGGCTGTGTAGACCAACGGGATGCAGAAATGCGAACAGCCAACCTGAAACAAGTATCCTCCTTTTCGAGTGTTTCCTCTACTCATCAGAAAAATTTTTTTTACTGCTTAAGGTATTACAAAATCATGATATAACTGATTATAACTGAAAAAAAGGAGCCCTTTCATTTATGCGTGCACATTACTGCACACTTGTACCTTTTTTACTTTACATCACTAGGGCTGGCGATACCCTGGTTCTGATCCTACAAGCAAGACAAGAACAGGACACTGGAAACATTACAATCCGGAATTTAGTTGCAGCCTACCAAAAATACCATAGTCGCTGGATAGAGAGGGCTCTTACACAGCATCTCGAACCACAGCAGTCCTCATAGGAGCGACATCTGCACAGGAATAGAGAGAAGGTGGTTGTTGTTCACAGTAGAATAAACAGCATCAGAGTAGGGAAGGGAATATAAACTCAACATTTCCAGCAAATTCAGTTGTATTAAATTGACACTACAGAGCCTGAACTTGCACAGCAGTCTACAACACAGATGCTGCTCGCCCAGCCCCAGAGGCTTTATTTACAACCCTGCCCTGAGCCTAGGAGGCAAAATCTGCAGCTTCTGCCTGCTGGCACAGAGCACAGCTGCACTGTTCCTATGTCAGGCACCGCTGTCTATTTCGGGCTGTGAAGGAGCCAGCCCCAGCCTGATCTACTCTGACACACACAACCTGCACCCTGACGATGTCCCCGGAGCTGCTGCTGGTCTAGGAAGTTGCAGAACAAGAAAGAATCAGACTCAGCTATCACTTTGCACTTAAACCTGTACCGTGCTCCTCACGTCTTTATTCTCATACACTCACTTGCTGAGTCTGTCAACCTGTGTCAGATCTCGGAGCTACCACTAGGAACAAGGTCAAACTGAACTGAGTAGCAGCAAACTATGTTTGGCCAGCTGGATGAAGGTTGGGATTCACATGTAGACAACTATGGCCACAATTCAGAAGCTTCGTACCTTACTGAAACTGCCTGTTATTGAAACTGCCTTTCCACACGCTTCTTTTAAAGCCAACTCAAAACAACTGAATTTAGCATTTAATGACACGTAACAGGACAAACTACAAGGATAAGTGCTGCAGACATCAAGCATGAACAATTTTGGGTTTTGTTCACTGCAAAAGACAAGAGTTGCAAGGTAAAAACTGCCAGATCCCTCATTCTCCACAAAGTGGCAGCTTCCCAGCACAGAAAACTCCAAGTGCAGTAAAACTTCAAGTGCACCATTACAGACAATTTTAAAGGCCATTGTTATTTTCCAGAAGTTGCAGCACACAGCAACTGTCAGCAACCCCATTACTTCAGTAGGCTTTCCTACAAGGCTAGTAGGCATTCCCCATTTCATGGGAATGGAACAGCTTTAAAAACATTGTAGCACTGATCTGATAGCAAGCACAAGGTACAGCTTCTTCCTGACCAAAGCCAACACATGGGTTAATTGCAACCTCTGAACAATTTCTACAGAAAGTGCCATTTCTACAAGGAAACATGCCACATGCGCAGCAGTATAAAGGACAGAGGTGAGGCAGAAACCATGTGACAGTCTTAGGTGAAAATATTCAGATTTAGCAAATCACACACCAAAAGGAAAGAGGTGGGTACCACAAGTAGATCTATCTTTTTAACAGTGTTTACTTCTGTATGTTTTGTATGTTAATTAAGTTTCTGGCTTCAGATAAGTTGCTCAACTAAATAACTGTGCTCCCATATTTGTAAGCAAAGCTGAAAAAAGAAGAAATCAATTGGCTAATTGTATGGATAATTACATGTTTGTGTGCTCAATTAATGTGCCTCCACTCACAATATTCATCAAGTTACACAGGCTTCAGCCTGCAGTGGGGGCAGGAGAAGATGCACTATGAACACACAATCACCATTTTGCAAGGGAAAGAAGTGTGTGCTCTTCCAGTGACAAGCAGACAGGATTTCTTGTAATAAGCCTAAGGATCTGACACTCTGATCGGCCCGCCAAGGTCTGCTTGCGTACTCAGACACACTGTTTGGGAACTGAGCACAACTAGCTGCCAAAGCCAGAAGAGAAAATACCCACTTTCCTGAATCTGAACTCTCCAGTCTCCAACACCTCTTCTTTAAAGCTTGCCTTGATCCTAACGGTGGCTGAAATATCACAGAACTACCAGCAAGACTTAGCAAGTCAGCATTAACCTTGGGTCTTATCAGAGCCAAGAAATTAAGCATTGCTCTACACTTCCCCCTGAAGGGATCAACCCAAGAGGAGCTTTCAAGACCAGTCTTAAATACATTAACAAAACCAGGCTGCCCACCAAATTGCCATGCTGATGCAGCATGCATCAGAAAAGCAGAAAGGAAATAGGAGGCTGTAAATCCGGCAGGAAGGAGCTGGAGGTCTATTCTGTGGGCCAAGTGTGCTAGTAAATAAAAACACTTCTCACCAATTCTTGTTGCTATGCATTTTAAAAGAGCAATTTGTGCTCAGATTTGTGAGAGACGGAGCGAGTTTCCCTGCATCACCAGGGGAGAACCTTCTTGCAACCTTTCTTGAGGCAACTGAGGCCAGAAAACAGAAGGATCTGAAGATTCTGTAGCTGTGCCTCCATGTGCAGGGTGCACGCAACTGGGACAGGGAGCAAGTGGATGCTGCACTGTGTAACTCGAAAGCCCCAGTATAATTTCCCAGACCAAGCCTCAAGAATCTGGCTTTATTAGTCTCCAACCAGAGTCTCTCAAGACTGACTACACACATTCCTCCGTGATCCTTACCTTGCTTACTTTGCATCTGTTTTCTCTAGAGCAAGAAGGGATGGGAAAAGGCTATTTTAAAATTTGTAACTATGGTCATTCCAATAACCAAAATTAAAGAAAAAAAATAAAAAATATTTTTTTTTTCTCTGTACGATTCAGCAGAGCACCTGAATTCACTGTTTACTTTTTTCTTTTTTTTAACTCTAAGGTATCTAGGTTACAAGTCAGCATCATTTTTAAAGTCTCAGTAAGTCTCATAAAGTCACATAAAGTCTCCACTGCTGAATGTTTATGAAGCTCCTAAGACCACTGAACGGCAAACAAGCAGACCATCAAGAAGTTCTGTCTCCTACAAAGATGACAGCACTTTCAAATGGCTGAAAATGAGATAAGAAAATTGAACAGTCTCTCCCTGCAGCTAAGTTTAGAGAAACTCCATCTTACTGTAGCCAATAAGCTTTGCACGGTGACTGAGCCAAGTCTGAAAACTGCACCTCCTGGGTCGATCTCTGAAGTTAAACCATCATCATGACTCAAGGGAAATCCCTTTGAAATCTGACACAAGTAAAACTAACACTTTTTACCCATAAAATGAAACAAATGCTCCATTTTTTTCCGTCTTGGTTAAGAAAACATGTATGTAGGAGTCTGGAATCAAGTGTGATATCACGATCCCAGGGTGCTGGCTGCCCAAGCAGACTGAAGAACAAATGGCCATTTGCTGGCAACTGCTGTTCTGGTACTGCTTGAGAGCTCTGCTTTTCTTCTGTTCTTGATTCAGTGTTGCCACGAAAAAAACAACACAGACTCTACCAACACTGATCCTAAATTACAACAAAATTAACTTACCTATAAAGGACATTATTATTTGCAGGCAAAAGAAGATAATAAAATCAGCTTATTAATAGAGCAACATACATACTTAAGCATGATCAATCTCTTGATGTTCTATCTTTTGCTACCAGACAGCAAATCCCAGAGGAATTAAGACCCTAGCCCAGAAGAACGAAGCAGACACATCTATATTTAGTGAACTGATAGGCATATTTTTAAAATTATTATCTTTGAGCATTGGCTCTTCCTAACGGAGAAGAGCTGGCGTTGCACAGTGCTGGTATGTTTTCCACCCAGCAATCTCAACAGCCCCCTACTCAGCCCCCTGGAACATCTGTCTGCCTCACATATGGGATTAAAACTTTCAGGCAGTTTTACCTAAAAAAAAAAAAAAAGAAAAAGAAAAAAGAAAAAAGAAAAAAGAAAAAAGAGCTGCTTGTCAGCTGTGTATTTTGGGTTTTGTCTTCCCTAAATTGAACGTGCAAGTTACAACAGAACTGTGTTCCTGAAGAACGAGCTTTAGAATCAACCTGGTCTGGCCTGTGCTCATCTCCTACAGAAGACTATGCTAAAGCCAGTTTCCTTCTTTCACATATAAATGATGACATCTGTGACATCTTCCTTTCCCAAGGGCAATGCTTGTCTCATTGATCAACATTTAATCCATTATGTAGGATGAGGCACTAGTTGCTGTGCTAACCTGAAACTTGGAAAGCATACATTCTCTCTTTTTAAAATGGCCCTGCCAGTGATTGATGAGCTAGAAGGTACATTTCTTCATTCATAATTCAGAAGAGTGAAATTAATGCATTTCCATCTCTAATTACTGGTATTGCCAGCACATCAAAGATCTGCTGTGTCAGGAATCAAAGTTTCACTCCGATAGATCACAGCAACAATCTTTTTGTACGGATTTGCACTTAAACCACAAAGCCAAATGCTTTTCTTTTCAAAGCATGAATTTTCATGTGAAGGTACGGCCTAAGCCCCTAAAACAAGCCCTGTACTTACATTTGTTCTTCAGATGACAACCACTCAGTGAAACGGTCCAGAATTTCTTTTCAATTTATACCCGCTCCTACACAGATGAACAAGTTCCTTCCCAGCAGAGTTGCTGCGGGAAAGAACTGCATCTAAAAACAATTCCCTGATTGGCACTTGCTGAAAACCAGAGAAGTTAAAAAGGTAAGAAAGGATTACAGTCTGCAGTGCACTGTATGGTCACAGTGGTTCTGACAGCATGTTCCCCATAAAAATAATTCCTTTGAAATGCATGCTGCACTATTCTTGGTTTTTCTCTCTAGACTGTTGGTGTCATACATGCCAAAACCTAATTTAACACTGAAATGTCTGACCAGCAATGTCTTTTGGAAAAGTAAAACAAAACACAAATTATTAATCTACAGGTAGGGGCAGAAAGCTGGCTCAGAATGCAGGGACAGAGGAAGTGAGCAGGAAAGAAAATCACAAAACCTCCACAACAACCAAAAGTCCTTTAGATGCAGTACATTGCGTGGGTTCTAACTAGCGTCCTATACACGAGCCTGACTGTAATTCCAAAGAAGACTGCATGCCAGCGATAAGTTAAATGATTGCTGCTTCATTTAAGACCCCTTGCTGGTAGCAAGAATTAAGTTTACACAATGGATTGTGTAGCAACAGACTGAAACTAAGAAATGAAAGATTTGAGGGAAATGGCTAGTAGCATCAGAAGAAGCTAAGAGAGCCTCATAACACTGGTATAAGCAAACACCAGAAGGGGACCAGAAGTGGAAAGGATGA